TATATATATATATATAGAGAGAGAGAGGGTATATTTCAAATACAATCAATCGTATTGTTATAACCAATGCAACCCAAATTCAAACCGTCTTATTTAATACTTCCGTTTTTTTCATTTTTTAAATTGTTAAAGAGTAATATTAGAAATTATGAATATAACATAATTATTGATTTTTTTAATTTCTTATAATAATTATCCATAATTAATGAGATTGCATTCAAAAATATTGAGATATCCTAGTTAATACACGTTTATTGCTTCGTCGATTTTTTTCTAGAATACTACATCAATTTTTTTCCAGTGATGGTCTCTTCCTTCATCGATTCTTTCCAGTGATGATCTATTCTCTTCTTCTCACTCAGAAATTACCCTCGATCTTTTCAATCCCTCTAGTAGAGAATTATTAGCCTTAAAGAAGGCTTGATGAACGCCCTATCTTATACAAAATGCTAGCTAGGGGGTCTCGACTTAGAAGATTCTGTGGCCCGCAAAGCTTATAACACTTCTCATTCCGACTTTCCAACACGGGGCAGGTGTCAGGGATAAAGTCCGACAACCTTAACGCCGCCTTATCAACCCGTGTCTTCACGGCGAAAGATGGACGAAAGCCCTTGAAAGTGGATCTCTTCTCTCCTAACAGGAGCAATGCCTGCACCCTTATTGCATGAATCTTGTTTCATTGTGTTTATAGTAATAAATCTAATTGCATTATTGTATTTATAGTAATGAATCAAATTGTATTATTGTGTTTATGGAGTGAATCTTGTTTCATTGTTTAATCACTTTTGAATCTATATGTTCAACATAACTCTTTACACGGACCATATTAGTCCCAACTAGGATATCTCAATATTTTTTAATGCAATTCCATTAATTCTGGATAATTACTATAATTTTTTTTAAATCAATAATTATGTTATATTTAGAATTTTCGATATTACCCTTTAATAATTTAAAAAATGAAAAAAAAAATTTAATGGACTCCCTGACTATAGATTAAAGTTTGAATGAGTGAGATGAGGTTGTATTAATTAAAGGTTAACATTGTGAACAAAGTACATGTAAAAATATATATGTTAATCAATATTCTAAATTCTGATCTTAGATGAAAGAAAATCATATGAAATAATATACATGATGCAGGATTCTAAAGGTTATCACAATTTCAACATAATAACTCTCGCACACACAAAGATCATGTGACATGAATGTTCTCATAAAATGAAGGTCACGAGATATCTCAATATTTTTAATGCAATTTCCTTTAATTTTGGATAATTACTATAAAAAATTAAAAAAAATCATTAATTATGTTATATTTAGAACTTTCGATATTATCTTTTTAACAATTTAAAAAATAATAAAAAAGAAAGTATTAAATGGACTCCGTAATCATAGATTAAATTTTGAATGGATGAGATGATATGGTATTGGTTGCGTGAATGACAAGTATCGCACAAATATATATATATATATATATATATATGTTTGTAAATATTTTTGAAGGTTTTAAAATTCATAAAATTTCCCCTCCATTGCAACAATTCGGGGGTATTTGGGATTTTTTGTAAAAACAACTTATTGTCTTATCTATATTATCTTATTAAATATATTTATCAAAAGTCTTAAAATACTAAATGACCAAAATACCTTTTATACTACGCTTATGTCATTTTTTCACCTTTTCACCCCCTCCTCTCTCACATACACTCACCACTTCACATACACTCACCCTCTCACAACCGATTTTTTTAAAATTATAATTTTAAATTTAAATTTTATACTTCTATAATTAGTTAATTAATTTACTTTACGTCATTTACTTTTAAATGTTTCATTTTAAACATTTATCAAATTAACATACATAATCGTATATCAATTAAAACATATTTAAAAAATACATTTTTATTTATAACAAGTTACACAATTATAATCGTCTCGTTAATACATTCGAAATGAGTCAAATATTGAATAGTTTGTTACTTAATTATATTATTATATATTATATATACTGTGAAAAAATATTTTTAATATTTATGATTTGTACTTTTATAGTTATTTATTTATATATATATTATATATTTTGGGATCAGGATGTCCAAATTGCACTATATAATATGTTCTTGAGTTTTTTGAAATATATATATACATGTATTAGTTCAACTTTAATCTGAGTTTCTGGACAAGAAAAATGGTAAGCAGTTGAAATTTCATTCTAAACCCATATTTTTTGGTTTTTTCATGACTTATGATCTGTCAAATTTGTAGTTTTCTTTATTGGTTTTTAATGTTTATCTTAAAACTCAAGTTTCTTGGTTTTTTTCTCTTGGTATAAATCAAACACATTTATGGAATCATTTAAATATGTTGGATTTTAAATATATTGGATTTTAAACTGTCATACAATATTTTAATCGATAGTCTGTAATTAAAACCATAACTCTTATTTATTCAAATTATATTAATATATAATAACCAAGTATAACTTATATCATCATTAAATCTTATCTTATAAAATCAATGAATTTCAAAATGGTTAAAATTCATGAATCCCGCCGTAAACGGATACACCACTAGTTTGGTTTGGAAAAAAAAAAAATTACAATCCCAAACACCCCTAATTCGTGAACTCATCGTTGCGGAGAATTTCTTGAATTGAGCCCTAGAATGCGGTAATGTTCTGAATTTCTATATTGCAATTTATAATCACTTGTATCGTCTAAGCTGAACTGTAATCGAATCCGATGTTCGTCTTTTTGGGATTCAGAGTTGTCTAGCAGTTCCAGATTTAACACCATATTAAGATTGATGAGGTTTTATGGAGTTTTTGTTGTCTCGATGGCCTCTTGATTACCAATTTTCAAATTCGTTTTCTTTCCCTTTCGTGTTATTTCGCGATATATAATGTTTGATTAAATCTATGGCTTATTTGTTCTTCCTTTTAGGAGAAAGTGGGCGGAATTTTGCTGACAGATAGTGTGTTTCAAGTTACGACGTTTTTTCTTCTACTGCATATAGGAATTGTAATTGTGTGGAGTCTGATATTTACCAGTATATGATAAATCTTTTGTTTCAATTTTAATATACAAATGAGATTATCTAAGTTTTTCTTCTGTAATTCTGTTACTTTTTCTGCCAAGTTCAGTTTGTTGATACGATTGAAGGTTTCTAAGATGATTTAAATTCCCCAGAAGAGAAGTGAAAAAATGGAAGCAAAGAGAAGATTACCATCATGGATGGCTGGTGTATCAGCGGCTGATGAAGTGAGTAAACCCCTTGATTCTGATGAACACGATGTCATAACAAAGGAGGACGTGAATGTTGTGACCAGATCTAGAAAGCCCAAGGCAAAAGCTGTTACCCAGAAGCACAAAAAGGAGGTTGGTCTTCCAAGTGATAGAAAGAGTATTCTAGTCAAGTGTGGAACAAAGAAAAGAGGGTTTGTTGAGAAAGATGTGATTGAGGGTCATAAGCCTAAGCAAGAAGTCGTCGTTGAGAAGAGAAAGCGTGGAAGGGCTGGGAGGAAAGATGAAGAACATGACCCTTCAAGAAATAAGGAAGAAAAAAGTTACGAGTTTGAAGGCAATAATGAAAATCAAGCTCCATCTGATGATGAAGAGGATGAGGATTTGACCGTGGATGATCTATTAAGCATCGCAAAAGAGGTAATTCTTTTTTCTATTACATGTTTTCACCGAGGTTTAGATATTCCTAATGTTAGGATATGTGAAACCCCTTTGAATTCTCTCTAAAAAGCCCTTATAGTGAGAGAGAGAGAGAGAGAGAGAGAGAGAGAAAGAGAGAGATGAAGTTCCTAGTTCCTATATATATAGAGGTTTGATGGTCCGTGTCGGACCAATGAAAGAGTCCAACATGCTCTCTAAATTGAGGCTAGACGGTGCCCCCAATAATGGAGGTGAAAAAAGTGTGTCGAGTCCCTAGGTAGTGTTAGACCCCCAGCTCGAATACCATGTCAGGATATGTGGAACCCTTTTGAATTCTCTCTAAAAAAGCTCTTATATGTAGTGGGAAGGTTCTTATGTGTATATATACAGGTTTTTAATGGTCCACGCGACCCCAACTCCTAAGCAGTTTCCATTTATGTCATGGTATTTCTAACACGAGTAGGTAACAAGACTGCTGTTCTGTAACTTTTGTACAGTTTGTTGCAAATAATGAGAGTGATATAGATCAACAGAAGCCATCAGAAGGACGATGCAAATCTTCATATAATTCTTCCTCTGTGACCACAACTTCTCTCGTTGTCCCCCAAGATACTAACTCACCCTTGAAAGAAGAAACAGCTTCTCGTCATGATTCTATTGAGAATACAAGCAAAGTTGCATTAGCTGATTCCCGGATGACAGGGGATCCAGCACAAGACATGCTCGATTTGTTTTTGGGGCCTTTACTGAAGAAACCAATAGGGAAAGAAGAGACCATTTCAATCAAAGATATGATATTTCCCCATGAAGTTAAGAATCAACAAAATGATGCTGTTATTTCCGACAAACCAGTCACCTTGACAAAGAAGAAAAGCAGCCTCAGGGACGCAGTAGCAATGCTTCTCGACTGAGATAGCTTTCCAGGTCTGTTTTAGTATATTTAATGTGCAACAACAGTTATAAGATATTGTAGCAGATTCTATAAATATCTCAGTTTGTGAATAACTAAATATAGCGAACTTCATGCTTTGAATTTACAAAGGTTTTACAGAGAAGTATATATATGGAGGTGGCCTTACATTTGGGAGAATCTAAGACAGTTTGCAATTCAAATTCATCAACTTTAACTCCTTATCATACCACATGTGCTTATGTTGTGTATGTATTCATGTGAATGTGTAGATGTGCATGTGTGCATTTTTATAGCTGTTTACTGCTACTACTTTCCTGTTTTTGGGACTTGAGATCATTTTTTATCGTTCACTACCGTACATATAGGGTGCATATGGTACGTGGAACAGAACATAATAAAAACTTTATCACATTTATCACGACATTATACTAGGACACGATAATTTTCATCCCACCAAAACAGGTGGAACACAAATAGGGAGATGGGACAAGATTGGATGACATATTAAGATTGTACCAGTTCCATTCATGTCTACTCCATATTACAGAATAAAGATTATGGCAAGACTTAGGTGAGAATAAACAAAACCAGGACTACTTCCCTTCTATTTCAATATGTTTGGATTGGCATATGAATTCTACAAGATGTAACCCTTCAATGAATTTTCTTTGCTCGTTTATTTCTCCTTTTTTGTAGTTGTTGCTGGTGACAAACATCATCTATTGATGTTGTTTTAGGGGGATGGACTTATTGGGCTTAACGACTCAACGGGCTTATTCGGACAGACATCGTGGGTTGTTTACTTGCAGCTTATGAAAAAAATGTCAACTTATTCGCACGGCTCATAATGCTCACTTGTCCAGGTTCAGCCAATAAAATTACCTCTCCTACCCCTCAATTAAAAAACATGCAACCTCGACCTCTGTATGACGCCTCTCTCTTCTCGCCTCATACCCTTGCTGCTCCAGTACCGGACGACCTCTCTTCCGGCGACTTTCAAGCCACGATGATCTCAGATATCGATTTCTATGGATTTCATGGCTTCTATTTTATGGATTTCATTTCATGACCTTAGGGATCGATTTCTATGGATGGTGCGTGTTTGGGTTTGAAAAGATTGCATGGTAATGGGACAGGGATGCATTGACTCAGCTGTTAGATGTGCGGTTTTTTGGAGATATTGAGGACCAGTATTCAATCTTTTAAGATTTTCGTTAGGTTGAAGTTTATGCCATTTTCAATTGACTCCTTGGGTGAAAGGGTTTGAAAAGGAGATTTATGGTTTTCTGTTATCATGGTTCTTGTTGGACATGTTTATGTCTTTTGGTATTGCTGTGGATGCTTGGGTGGCTATGGTGGATTCCAAGAAAGAATGGAAGGGAAGTTATCAAAGAAGCTTGTTGATGGTGCATCCTGCCATCAATCTCAAGTGTTTAGAAGGTATTCTTTGTGGGTCATTTGCAAGATGGGTGTTGTTACAATCCTTTGGCAAGTTGTTTGCTTCTGCTTTCCAGTCTTTTATGGAGGTTTATTTTATGTGAAGTCCATGGATGCTAATTCTAGTGGACAGCCTTTTGGTGGAAGAGAGCTTGAAGTCTTGCTCGAATACGTTAGATGATACTCAAGTTTCTATGGATTTCATGCCCTGAGGTCTCGATTTCTATGGATTTCATGACCTTTAATTCGGTCTTTGAGGACTACGATTCTTTCATATCAGGGCTTGTGTGCTAGACTATTCGAGGGTGGTATGTGCACGGGTATTAGAGCCTATGAACTGAGCCTTTTGTGGTCATTCACGAAGAGACCAATATGGCAATATATATTGCTACTTTGTATGATGGAATTGTAAAGGATTTGGTCTCAAATGTACTTTTAAGAATTGTGTTTGAACTTGGAATGATTAAAGTATTCTGAGAATTGTGTTTGAACTCGAATTTGATATCAATGAATTATGATATTATGTTTTAATGTTTAAATAGTTTTTGTGTTTTAGAAATATTATTCAGCTTGAAAAAGAATTTATTAAAAAGGGCTTAATCCATGTTGAGGGGTAGATTGGTCAATTCTATCATTCAGATTGTTGATTCAAGAAAAAAAACACATTTTTATCCGGACAAACAAATTTATCGATATAAGACTTGATAGAAAATTTGGTAACCAACCCATTAGTCTAATGGGCCGTTTACCAAACGCTTAGCCAGTAAGAGCTTACCGGTAAAATTTAACACCATCAATTACTTATCGGAGAAAATTTTAGTCCATCAAACAAGGAATCGAATGCAAAAAAATAATCTATTTTATTTATTTGATTAACTAAAAATAAAAAATAATCTATTTTCATCCAACCGCTTGAAATAAAAATGCAAACATGCAATCAATGGCAATTGGCAAATCTAACGGTGGAGTTTCTGCCACCTTGGCAATCCCTATCAGTTAATTTCAATTTTGAGTTTAAATTTTACCCTTGAAATATCGGCGCCATTTTTGGCGCTTAATTCATGAACTTTCCCTCTTCTTAAACCCTGCTTCGCAACTTCCTCCATAGCAGACCTCCTTCCTTTTCCACAAACATACACAGATTTCCTTCCACCATTCATCAATGGGGCGCTCTGGTGATGCTACCTCCAAATCCGTCAACGCAACTCGAGCCAGAAAGAGGGTGGAAGCAGATACCGCTTCTACTTCTCTCAAACGAGCAAAAAATGGCAGCGCTTTCACCCGATGGTATTGTAATCTTCCTTCTCCTATAAGTTCAACTTCATCGTCAATACTTGTTATAAAATTGGATTCTAGATAGCAATCTTCGTTGGTGAGTGTGGAATCTATGCAAAATTTGAAGTTGAAAACTAATTTATTTCGTAATCGCAGTGGATGAGAAATTTTTACGTTTTCCAAATCGATGTAGTGATGTTGATTTGATGAAATCTTATTCTACAGTGAAGCGTGTAATAAAGATGTAGCTGTGGCTTTGATTAGCATGCACGATTGTGGCCTTGATGCCAAAATCAGGATGAACTTAGGTATGTGATAATGTTTAAGAAATAAATTTCATTAAATTATCAAAACATTTCTACAAATAAAGTATTTACATCTCTTTGTTTGTTACAGAGGCACAAGTTGTTGAAATGCTTAATGATCCAGTCGTTAAAAAGGCTACAGAGAAGTAATTAATCTATACTTTTCCATCATATGATCTTGGTTTCTGCTTTTCTTTGTGTTTTGTTTGTAACAGATGAATTCTTGTGTAGGAAGAAGCCATCAACAGGAAAAGAACAATCTGCAAAGAAAGTGAAGAAACAGAAAGACCCAAGTAAACCTAAAAAGCCACCAACTGCATTCTTTCTCTTCATGTAATGCCATACTTTTTAATTCAGATCATGACTATGGTTATTCATGCTACTTACATGTGATTGATGGCAATGATTACTTGTTGTGGTGTAGGGAGGAATTTAGAGTAACATTCAAGGCAGCAAATCCAGATAACAAGAAAGTTTCTGTGGTAATCTTTGTACCTTAAACCCATTTGACTGCAAATTAAACCAGTTGTAGCTTCTTGTGTGGTTCATCTCTGCTTAACATGGCTTGTTTCCCTTTCTTTCCCACATATAGGTTGCAAAAGAAGGTGGTGAGAAATGGAGGTCCATGACAGAGGAAGTGAGTAGCAAATTTCTGGATTTATTTGTTCTTGTGTTTGATTTGTCTTTTATCTTATGTTGCCTAAAGGATTGTTCATTTTTGAAAATCAGGAAAAGAAGCCTTACACTGAAAGGGCAGCTGAGCTTAAAGAAGATTATCTAAATGCTTTGCAGACTCCAATTGATGCTGAAAATGAAAAAGCTGTAAGTACTTTTTGGGTTTATATCTCTGCAATGTGTTATGATCACATGACCAATAACCGATTATGGTATGTATTGGCTGATTCACAGGAAAGGGAATCCAATGATGATGATGATGAAGGTGATAAAGTAGAGGTGGTGGCTGATGAAGAAGGATCTCCAGATGAGGTTGAAGTGGTGGCTGATGATGAATAGAATAGATTCTTGATATTGGTTTATTTTGTTTATCTTTTATGTTGATGGTGCATGATGGCTGGTTGAAGTAGAGAACCATTATGCCCATTAGTTTTTGTAGAAAGCAGCCCCCTTTTTTGTTTCCATCTTTAAAATCTTGTCATTTGTGTAGGCTAAACAAGAAATCTAATACATGACTCTTCATTACACCCTTTTTCTGTAAAACCAACAAGTTTGTTTGTTCTCTCTCCCTACACATCTATCATCTATCAAGAACCAACTAGGAAATTTACAAGGTTTTGCCTGGTTTCCCAGTAACCAACCAGGCTATTGCAACTTGAATTTTCTTGATAAATGCTTACCAGTTAAATGTTTGGTAAATGGCCCTTTAATAATTTATAAAAATTAAAAATATTTGTGAAATTACACAAATATTCTAAACACACACACGCACAGATGACAAAAAAAGGGTAGACAAACCGCTCATCTCATCTGCATATACTCTCCATGCCTCCTTCAAACAAATTCAATGAGACATCGTTTTTGGTTTCGTTTTCAAGAATCTAAACACCTAACCGCTTTGATCCCAACTTCACTTGCAAAAACGATTGTGGGAAGAAATTACGGCGGATTTGGGAGAAATCAGAGAAACTTGGGCACCAAAAAACTTCAATTTTAGTCCCACATCGGAAAGAGTCCAGAAAGTCAATTACTTTATAAGCGGCAAATGGAATTGGATTGTCGCCGGGCTTGGTAACGCGAGCTTGTGACTCGAGTGAGGGCTTTAAGATGGCTGGACTGTGATTGAGCTCAGATTGGTTGGGTTCTGTGGTTGCAATGTCTGGCTTGCCCGTTCTAAGTTTGGAGTTGGATCATGTGGTTTGGGCGAAGGCCTGGGCTTCATGGTTCCTAAACTAGAGGGTAAAGCGTAAGGCTGGTTTCACAGAGCTGCGAAAACCTCTCTCTCCAAACAGTGGAAGGATAACGAGCCGGTGCATTCTCGTCCCATATAAACCAGCTGGGCTCCTTCTAATGGACTCCCATTTTTTTGGGAACCGTATGTTTTCAAGCTTGTGCAAAAGAGATTGCAAACCCGGGGCTGGCTCCGTCCTGCTCGAGAGTATCATGTGAGAGCTAATTCAGGTATATGTTGCCGACTTAAAAGCCAAATACCACTAGAAGAAAACGAGCATCATGTGAAAGGCAATTCAGGTATATATAAAACTGGGTTTAAAAGATGCCAACAATTTATAACATTTAAATTTATAGGACAAAAAGATAAAATGTAATATCCAAAAATATGTTGTAATAAGTTTATATTTTGTATGTGTCTTAACAAGTTTTTTGGAAAATTTAAAATAAATCACCTATTAGTTATTTTAAAAAATGTTTTTTAGACTTTGTTAAAACACTAACAAACGTCTTATAAAAACTTATTACAAACAATTCTAGTTATGATACTTTATTGTTTGGTCCTATAAACTTAAGTATTATAAAACAGTCTATTAGCATGTTGCTGACTTTTTATAAACTTAAATTTGTAGTAGTGGATTGTAACTCCCATATCACAATTGTCGTACTTAAACCATCACATGTTTGTGCAAATTCAAACTCGAATCTTATCACATAATCATGAATTACAAGTCATATTGAACCACAAGGGTGGTGTCTGATTGGTTTGAACTTGGCTTCAAAGGTCAAAGTACCAGGAGGTCCCAGGTTCATATCCAAAGACGAATAAAAATTCTCTTGTGGCCATGGAACTTCAAATGCGGTGACTCCGGGCTATCTGCAAAGCAGGTGGCCGTCCTATGATTAGTCGGCTCGCATAGCGGGTTGGATATCCAGGTCAATCAAAAAAAAATTACAAGTCATATTTATACTTAATGACCATGTTATAAAAATGTCACATTAACACACATCTATATCAAGCAGGCTAAAAACCTGCATATCATTTGATTGTGTCATAAATCTGATGGAAATGATGTATTTGGTTTGATCGTTATTGTTGGATTTATAAAATTTTCATCTCATCTTTAACCCCGATTAATGATATAACATAACATAATTTCGTTACTCGTTAGCATGGAACACATATAGCCCATAAGCATTCTCAATCCCATATGATATCCATGTAACATCCTAGGTTAACCATACCAGATACTATCTGCTTTGTCCAAACTTGAACTCATGGTTTTAAAACATGTATGATAGAGGAGGTATCCGGTCCCTTATAAGGCAACATTTGATCCCCTCCCAAACCAACCGATGTGGGATCTTACAATCCATAAAAAGATCCATCTTTTACTATTGCTTGTGTTGAACTTGTCATTTAAGAGCACAACTGCTAAGCAGGTAAGCTTTTGGCATGCAATCAATAGTCCCTTTCAGCAAAAACTTGTAAAAGGTTCAATATGGTCTACAAGCTTGATATTTTATAGCTCGAGGTCAAGATGCAAGTTTACCGAATAGTTATCTATCATGATCAGCTTTCTAGCGTTTCATTCACCACTAAATTGCTCAGAATGCTAGTTTTTTTCAAATTGTAGGAGCGTTAAATTTAAAAACCGAGTGTTTTCTTCAGTTCTGAGACTTCGTCAGCATCTCCCACATATAATGCAGGTTTGTTTTTGACATTCTTATGATATGCAACATTCTCTATATATACCTTTGTACAATATCTGGACTTGACTGCAGGATCAACGCGTACTATGGTTACAGACAAGGTTATGATGCTTATGCTTACGGAGCAACTCAGGATCCATCATTTTATGCTTACGGTGGTTATAAGCAGTATCCCCAACAGGCAAGACGATTTCCCTATTGTTATTGTTCATTGCATTTTCTTCATTGAATATTAAAACCTGAATATAACGTGACTTGTTTATTCAGCATTAGGGTCTTCAAACCAACAGTCTTACCTTAAAGTTGTCCATTAGTAGAAACATAGTTGTGTTGATCTCACTACTTTTAAGTGACACGGCTTAATGGTTAATACCAATTAAATGTTTATGTTTTACAAGGAAGTTATAACTTATATTAATTAAGAGTTATTATTGTAATATTAATTACAATCCGGAAGATGAAACATAAATCATGGATCAACTAAATCCTATCGGAGACTTTCTTAAGAATAAGAAAGAAAAACCTCATGTATATACCATGGAATAAGGTTTGATCCCATTCATCGAGACATGGAATGGAAACATTCGAGATTTTCTTAGAAAGTGGATGCATTTATTAATTCATGATTTGACATGTACATAATGAAAGTTCTCATGCTGGAACGGGAATATAGGGGGAGGGGGAGGGGGGGAGTCGTTGGATGGATCTCTCTCTATCTCTCTCTCTGCAAGAAGTTAAACATTTTGCTAGAAGGCGAGAAGTTTCAATATCATATATGATTACACTTCTTTGGGTGTGTTTAATAATATATGATTAAGCATCTATATGTTGTCAATGCAACATGTGTTTAGTCATATATAATTAAGCTTGTTATCATGCGTGTAATCATATATGATATTGATATTTCTTGCATTTTCACAAAATGTTTAGCTTCTTGTTTGAACCTAACATTATGTTTGTGTGTGTATATATATATCTACACACATACATAATTATAGACGAAGAGATTCATTTGAGAAGTGATAAGCATTTAGGAAGTAAAGAAGTGATCATAACCTTTTATATAGTCAAGAATTGCGGCTTTGATTGGTGAAGCAAAAAATAGAAGGTAGTTCCGTAACTTTTATAATAGAAAGGAAACATGCATACATGTGAACCCATAATTCATATATGAATCAATTGATCAGCTCATATGTAAATCACAAGGGTTCATATCTGAATCGCACAGGTTCACATATAAACTTGTTTTGTCGCCCATTTGTAAACGTTACAAAATTATCCCTGTATCTTCCACATACCATGCGAGGAATTATTTCTTGCTTTACAGTCAAAGTCGTAAATCTTGACCAGATAAAAGGCTAAAAACATTTCTCTACTTCTCAAGTACTTACAACTTCTCAAATGAACCTGTGATTATTTATAGATACATAATATTAAAATAAAAAAAGAATATGATTTTTTAGTAAGATAAAGACCAAAAAAAGGTGAAAAAAGACCCAAATGCCCCTAGAGTTAACCGGTCTAACAAAACAAATGTTAGTAGGAAGGACTCGAAGCGTGCAGAAATGTCAACTAGAAATACCATATCTGTATTTATTTTGATTTTAGGACAACCGTTGGGTAGAAAGTGTAAATTATAAAGACCAAATCCACAATTTATGCAAAAAAAAAATGTGAAAAAGCTTGAAACCAACATCATATTAACAAAAATCTGAACACATGATTGTGTCAAATGCCAGATGTTTAGGCAAAAGCAGCAATTTTCATAAGTTTCATACTTTCAGGTCAAGACAACTCTAGCCTCTAAACAACTCCCAATTTTGAGGATTTTAGACATGTTTTTTGTTCCAACGAATTCTCTAAGATGAAAAAACAGGAAATGATGAATAGTGCATTTAGCACATCCGCAAACCCGACAGTGACATCCAAAAAATGAGACGAGTTTCAATATCGGTGGCAGTGAACGGAAACAAAAGATTTTGAACCCATTGAAGAAGTGCAAATAAGATTGCTGTGATCAACAGTGATGCACTTATACATTGCTTTTTAACTAAGCATACAAAGACACAGAATTGCCACTGGATCTATAGGTTCTGTTTGCTAATAATAAAAAAGCACCCAGAATTGATTAGGAAATGAAAATGCTACTTCTCATAAATCCAAACTTGGATTGGGGAATATGTAGTTATTACCAAAATGCTTGGCCTTTGCATTTCAGATGTCGGTCATCCTCACCAGCTTATTGTACAGAATGCGGTCATCCCTTCCGGTGTTGCTCTCCAGCAGTGCACTTTGTACAAGTTCCTGAGGTCCATGGAGAAGATATATCAAGAGAAGAGACCGATGGTTTAAAATTCTAAAATCTTTACTCCCTCGGTCTAAAAATGAAGGTCTACCTTTAATTAACTAAACAACATTTTTACCCTTGTTTATAGAAGAAGTAATGAATTCCCCATCTCATAATTAAGGGTAGAATCGGAAAGTAAACACTTTTGAAAGTGGACATTATTTTGGGACAAACTAAAAGATAGAAATATGAATAATTTTATCACCTTGACATCCCTGTGAGACATGAACTTTCCCAAAGTGTGCAGAATCAACCGTAAATCTTCAACCTGAGAAACAGACGGAAATAATGGTAGTTAAAACTTTACCCTTTCAAATGGCCACGTGCTGAATCTTGAGTATTAAAATCACAACTTACCCTTATGTAGCCCACTCGATTTCGATCAAAAAACCTGAAAGCCTGTTTCCAAGTAAAAAGTGCGTATCAAAATCATCACAAACAATTAAGCAGTGTTATTAAAGTTCAACAAAATTAAATAAATATATTGATAGGATGACATTATGAAGGTGACATGCCTGCAGAAGTTCTTTGTCAGTCGTAACTGGAGTTTCTTTCTTCTTTGTGTCCACCTTTGGGGTTTCCTTTTTCTCCTCAGCCTCCAACTTGAAGTTCAGATTCACAGTTACTTTAGCATTCTCCTCTTGTTCACCTTTCACGATTTCATCCACATTTTCAGACTTCAGATCCATGTTCACTTTCTCACCCTCAGCCTTCTCCTGCAAATAAACCATAAAATATGAGGTGACAAAGAGACCAATAATTATGTTTAAAAGCAATGGATCATCTCCCATTCAATAGGATTAGAACAACTTCACTCGATTCACTTGTGAACAAATGAGACTACTCTCCCATTGAAGGACTTGATCTTGGCCTTATTCATGCACTTGCCTCTCATTAAGTTTAAACCCGGAACCCAGCACCTAATATGCAAGTATGCAACTAAGCTGTGATAAGCACGACTTATCTGCGGCAAGACTAAACCTACAGGCTTACATCAGATTATGAACGCATACATTCACTGTCCATTTAACCTCTGGTTTTCTATAGGTCTGTGAGTACTTGTCTCCCACCACTTTGAAGATTGTTCTCTTCTTTGTTTGGTCCAAATTTTTGCTTCAATGATGCAAAGAATAAAGAGCAGTTTCAAAATCATTTACCTCAGCACTCGCTACAAACCAAGACAACAACTTTCTCATAACCAAACACCACCATGTAGAACTACAACTTTTTGGTTTCTATTTTTAATCAGTAATGGTGTGATACAAGAAGGGCAGAGAACAGTCAAACTTGCCTCATCATCTACATCATTTTTGGGGCTTGCATCTGCCATGTTTTCATCTTCAGGATCTTCTTCTGGGTCTTCTTCTGGATCTTCGTCTTTATCTGATTCATCTTCTGGCTTCGTGTTCTCCACATTATCAACAAGCATATTTTCATCCTTGACAACAGTTTTTCCATCTGCTGGACAGCCTTCATCCAATGTTTCAGTTTTAATTGATTTGCTTTCCACAGTTACATCTTCGGTTTTAACTGATTCGCTTTCCACAGTGACATCTTCGGTTTTCAAACGCTTAGGGGATGATTTTTTGGCAGATGATGTTTTCTCCTTTTCATTGTTTTCAAGAACTTCTTCCCTCTGTCTCTTTTTTTGGTTCCTTTTAGCCACAAACTTGATCCTCAATTTCTACAGAAGTTGGCATAGGAGAGATAGGAAAGACGGGATCAAAGAATCAGTAATTGCATAAACCAAGTAGAATTAAATGGCATACAATTAAAAGATACCAATTCAAACCCACCTGGAGAAATGTTAATATCCGAGAACCCATTTGATATTGAAGCATTTCATAAAATGTTTCAGCAAATAAAGATAGCTGCCAAGAAGGGGAATTCAAAGAAGAATCCAACACATGTGAATCAAGGTTAGACAAAAGGAGTGAACTCGGTTAAAACAAAAAGAAATTTGATAAGCATACACATAGGAAAGAGAGATTCAAACATGATACCTCAAATGTTGATTCTTCAATATCCTTGTCAGTATAATCCAAGAGGGAGTCCAGCGAAAGTGACAGAGAACGCAGCTGTTGCAGAGAAAACAACAATTAATGACGTACGTATATAGAATGTCGCTTAATCTCACCAAATAAACATTTTGAGATATGCAGATAATACAAAGGACAGGTATTTTGTGATATGCAGACAATACAAAGGATTAGCAATTAAGCATCTTGTGATGTGCAAATAAGATGAAGGAAATGCATTAGAAACACCTACTTTGGAATTCTTGCTCCCTTTTGTCTGCAGGAACAACCCCGGATGCCGAGGAGGCTCCTCGGCCTTTTTCTTATCTTTCACCTCTTTAACCTTCGATTCAGCTTTCCCATCCTTAACTTTTCTCTCTTTCCTGTCCTTGGATTTCTCATTCTTCTCAGACTGGCCATCAGTCTGAGGAACATTAAGATCATCATTCTCAATCTTCATTTTGGAGACAGAACCAGCATCCACATCAGCTTTCTTCTCTTCCCTCGCTTGATTGTTCACACCCTTATTTCCACTTCCATTCAAACCACCCACGTCCTTTTGCAGCTCAGGGACAACATTCTGAGGCATCACCTCAGAGACCAATTCATTGTTCTCCATTTTGACATCACTTTCCTGATTGCCCAAGGCAGCAGTTTGCTCCCCAATAGTTGTGCCTAGTTCGTTTTCCAAGGCCACTTTATCCTTGTTGTCAGCATCCCGTGCTGCTACCTTTCTCTTAGTAACCCTTTTAATTATTTTCTTCTTAACAGTAGTTTTGACACCTGCACCAGCCACATCTGCAGTTTTTGGCTTATCTTCAGAAAACTCGGGTTCCTTAAAAACCTCAGATTGTGTGCCTTCATCTTCTTTCTTAATGATTTTCACCGCTGGAGCCTTTTTGGTAGCTTTCTTTTGGGCAGAAGTCTTAACAGTCGAACGATTAGCAGAAGGCTCTGAATCTTCACCAATAACCTTTGCCTTTGCAGCAGTTTCTTCCACTTTCTTTGGATCCATCATATCATCCTGTTTGGGTGTCTTTCCGCCTCCATCTTTTTCAACAACCACTTTCTTTTTAATAACTTTTCTTATAATCTTCTTCTTTCCACTACCAGGTGTCTGAATACCAACAGCTTCTGTCTGATTCTTTTTTCCAGAATTATTGCCTTCATCAACTGTCTCAACTTTCTTCTCAATTACTGTCTTGGTTTTATCATCCTCTTTTCCAGTTTCCTTTGCTTTAATTTTGGTGGTAAGTTTTCCTTTTCCATTAAGTTTTGATGCCGATCCAGAAGACTCAGCCTCTTTCTTTTTTGCCGGTTTTTCATCCTTTTTCAAATCTTTTGTCGTCCCAGGCTCCTTATCTGCTAAGAAGCAACAGATCCACGTTAGCCAAAATTATTATAAAACACAAAAGATAACCTTAGATTTGGTTCTCATTAAATATTACCTTTCGGGACTTCTTTCTTCTCACGCAATTTCTAAAAAAGAAACAAAAGACCAGAGGAGAGATTTAGTACTAGAAAGACTCTAGGATAGAACTGAGAGAAAAAAAGAGATACAAATTTCAACCAACAACCCAATAACAATGGAGAGAAGTATCGGTTACATAAATGCTCACAACATATGTATATAACAAACCACAAGGCTATAAAGTGATGCTTAATTTTGTTGACTTAGGTATTGGCGAAAACGCCACTAGAAATAAAATTCTAAACAAACCAGCACCACACTTGCAAGGTGGGTTGCTCGAAACACGCTTTGACATCTTCTTAACCCGAAATGGCTGGGGAGAGCAAAGGCCCCTTTTTTTGAGGGTACTCCCGGGAACAGATCCAGTGGAGACGGAGTGGGGCCTGTAGCTCAGAGGATTAGAGCACGTGGCTACGAACCACGGTGTCGGGGTAGGCATTGCAAACTGATCTGGGTCTGGACAGAAAGAACACTGCTCCATGAATGCCTTACAAAAACTACGGAACCTTCCAACAAGGAAATATATATTAACAACGCAACTAAAAGACAATATCGTCTCCTCACAAATTCTGACAAGGGTAAAAAGTGATTTAAATGCCATGGAAACATCAGAGTCCATTGCATCTAATCAGATATTCAGACAGTTGGTTTTTTATCTCATCATCAGCCCTCACATGATCTCCATCATTTACACATGATGGGACATAACGTAAGGTACGACCTCTTTTTAGACTCATAATACCACCACATTAAATAACGTGTCCCTGCAACAAGTCATACCACCTAGTCTAATCCCTTCCCCCGCCAGTAAACTGATTGGTGAGTATAGGTTTCAGTCAATCCAATGCCACGGTCAACAAGCAAGATATGATCACCAGCATATTGCCAAGAGAATGGCCCCAACACCACTCATGTAATCTTGAGAGGCAGATTTAGACCAATTTTATCCAAATTCAAGATACAGTTAATTAGACACAGATGATAGTATACAAAAAGCAGAGTGACAAATTCATGATTGTTGGGGAGTAGTCTTCAGTCGCTTGGCCAGTACATCAGACGAGTTCACAGCTTTATAGTTTACAAACTAGTATTCACATGTTTATCTAGGGTCTATATAAATTGAAATGTCAATCCAAAATTACAACAATAATAATAGAAGAAAAGAGCTTCGAAACCATACAAAAATGGAACAGTTCTGAAACTGATCATTTAAAAACCAAAGGCTTGAAACATTTAACAAATATACAAATGCCAGCGAAGCTACATGGAAATAAATCCCCGGCACCTCATCGCTTAGAACTTTCACATTACGGTCAACAGTTTGTATTTTTTTAAAGCGCACTAAGTGGTTTGGCTTACTATTTTGAAGTATGAAACCGTGGTTCTAACCACACTGCATATTAATTATACTATATATAATTATATATTATACTTTTAGTAACTAAAAATTGATATATTGACATCAATCAATACTCAATATTCCATACCAAAAAAGTTGTAGATAACTCTTCAGGTGTGTATGAAGACTGAAGTTGTGGATCTTGAATAGACTGTTGAGACTCGAGTTTAATGAAAGATGATGCTAAATTGTTCATTTTGAAGCCTCTTTTTGTTTTAGATTTGTTTTAAAAATCTGATTGAACTTTAGCATGCATTTGGACTTAATTATGTTATGTGTATTGCCACTTCCCATTTTGTATTGTATGGACAGTGAAAAACTCAGTATTGCCACTTTTCATTTTCCAAGCATCACATTTAGGTACAAACTGAAACCACACAGCAACACATTTTGCAATGCAGTACTTTGCAGTTTTGAGATGTAGTTTGGAAAAAATCTCAAAACGCTGGAGGAAGAAGCTTGGAAATAGCAACATCTGCCGGAGGAACACAAGAATGGTTGAAACAAGTTTTATTTTGTAAATTAGGGAAGGATAATCTCATCCATAATATACATTAATTCACTCAATCTGGGTTTTGGTGCACACTTGAGAAACTACTTGAGATGATAACCTAATTGGTACTTGCTGACACGGTGACTAAAAATTGCGATATGTTTAGGAGACGTATCAATAAGGTCAATCTTGCACCTCAAGAAAAATTTAACCTTCTATGTTTTTTATCCCTTTGAAGTTAAACTAGAACACAAAGAGAAAACTACACATAAGCCAAAAATGGGACACTCTGGTAATGAATCCCCCGAATACCTTATTTATGGCAAATGGAACCGACATCTTAATTTCACATTATCCATATGCAGCAAATAGAACATCAATCTAATAGAGCACACCAACAATTGCCAAAAAGATTTATTCTTTTTCCTTCCATATTTGTTTGAAAATTGAGATGTTTCTTGTTTCTCCGATAATATTTATTCTATCCTTGTAGTGGTAAGGAAGAGAGAAATATACCTCTCTTTTAAGAGCATGCAGGAGCTCTCGCTCAGCTATAGCCTTCTTGTGGGCAAGCCACTGATCTCTCCATGCATCTATTGAAGGTAAGCAATCCGATAAATCAGGAATATAGAGTACAGTCACTTCTTTATGGCTGAAAAGTCCATCCTTCCCAACTCTGTCATAGTGAATCTGCAAATGTCAAAACAATTATTTATGGGTATCATACCAAAAGTGAAAGCTCATTCATACAGCTAGTAAGCAAAGACCAGTCCAAATTAAGAAGGAATGTCGTGCAGGTTCTGGCTTTCTAAGAACTTAAGCATTTTAAAGATTTCTAAAGAATCATAAGAATATATGCACAAAAACCTGTAATCTGATGCATTTGTCAAAACATCGTGATTGAAGTCATTTGTTCAAGCATAGACAGAACAATTTCATTGCAATGCCTGATGGCTAAGAGAATCATAAGGGATTATGTCCGGACTAAATTTAAAAGTCACACATGACACACCTATCAAGAACATTGAGCTAGAAGATCTCCAAAACGGAAGAAATATTCAAATGTCCCCAGTCGCAAAAAAATTCGAACAGAAGTAGTGATAAAACAATATGGCAGTATTTTTATATGTTACAAGACAGGGGTGCATCTACCAAGGCCAAGTACCACTTTGGCTTGGCAACGCATAGCAACACAGGTCCAGCCAAATTTGACATGCTAACTGCTACCATCAGATCAGCTTAATGGGGTGTGTCGATGGCTAGTTTTTTGCACCTCATAAAAGCAATTAAGATTCAACTAAGAAAGAGACATTGGTTGACAGAGAAGAGAATAGAAATAGACAGCAACAGAATTTGGGCTTTTCAGCATCGTCATTATCATTTAGTTTTCTTGTCTGCTTGTGAAACATGTTTTCCTGCTGCTTTCTGTTTAAGCAGCCTCCTATTTTATTTTCCTCTCTTCTAATCAGAAGATATTTTCAGCTAATCCAAGACGTCACCATCAACCCCGTCTCAGAAAAAACTGATTACATCTTTGACACGAAATTTACTGAAAAATCCCTGTATTTTTGCAAATCTCTAATCGCCCTCATGATCATATATTATGTTTTATTATTATAAATGCATAATACTCCCCGTGTCCTATATATATAGAGTCAGGTTCATACGAGAACAGTAACTATAAAAAAAAATTAGAAAACGGCCGAATCACGTGATTCTACACTAAAATCACGTATAAAATCACATGTGATTCACGCGACTTTGACTGCGACCTGAAGTTGTGAGCCATGTAGCCCGCACACCCTTTTGTCAACTGTTAATGTAAAATCATATGTGATTTTGCACGTGATTTGATTGCTCTCGTATTCTCTTATTAGGTTACTGTTCTCGTTTGAACCTCCCTCTATGTATGTATATGTATGTATGTATATATATATATATATATGTATATGTATATATAGGTATGTATGTATATATGTATATATATGTAGGGGAGGGATAAAATGCAAACTAAGCCATTTGTACAAGCCGTGAAAACCATTGATTTCACAATTTAATTTAGTGAAGCTTTTTCATGAAATAGTTTCAAATAATTCATCTCTTGAGGAAATCGTTTCATATATTTTTGTTTCTATGTAAAAATTAAATTGTTTCATGTATTTTTCATTTTGATGAAATTTGTTTACAAAAATTAACAAAATGAAGATGACAAAATCCATAATTAACGCCCTCCACAATAAAAATGACTAATCAACCCTCATAATTAAAAAAAAGAAAAAGAAAGAAAAATTATGATTGGTTGAATGAGGTTTTCACGGTTTGTACTAATAGCTTGGTTTACATTTTATCCCTCCCCTATGTATGTATGTATATATATGAATGTATATACAGAGGAACACTTGAAGTTTTTCCGGACCTCATATACTTGATGGATATTAAGAACAGGAAGAGCAATTTAAGAATATCAAATTATCTTACTGTTAGAAAATGAAAAATATTCTTTTGAGACATGGTACATATAAACTAGACACTTTATCTTTTGCGAAGGGGTAAACAATAGTTCATTATTAAGTGCATATGAAACTGAAGTCTTATTCAATCCACAGAAACTTCAGTGCAGGAAAATTCTATGAGATTACCACTAGGTTACATATATAATGCTGGCCTGATTCAAATATAGAAAATGAATGTAGCTTAAATTAGAACCATAGGTGAAGAGAAAAATAAGAGATAGTCAATCTAATATATCGTGGAGACTGTCCAACTAACCCTTGGATGCAAGAAAAAAGATAGTAAAATGCTTGCCATGTTATGTATTATGCATAAAAACAGACAAAAATATGACCATTAAAAGAGGGAACACAATCACTATCACGGCAACCGTGAAGGCTATGCTATGCAGTTGCAATTTTACGATATACATCTTCACACAAAACAAAGATTACCTCAAGAAATGGATTCCAATGACGGCAGCTCTTCAAGTCAAGTCCGGTGAGCTCCTTGGCATACCTATAGACATAATTTGATTATAAGAGTATTTATTAAAGAACAAGTGGATATATAAGAATAAAATCAATCATGCAAAACCAACCTTAAAACAGTTTGAACTAGAGTAGATTTATCTACTGAAGGATCATTGCCATCAACAGTGTCCCACAAACCTCCAATTGCCATGAAAGAATTCCCATTCTTAAGAAAAGCAAACCTAAGCATATTGCAAAGATGGGGAATGCGATCCTCGTAATTCCTTTCAGATGATAGCTCCTCTAAAGCATTATGGCTAAGCCCACTCATCAACAGCATCTAAACCAAGCATGAAAACGAGACCATATATGAAAATATTGTACATGCTGGAATGCTATATAATGAAATCAGCAAATTCCATCGTGTATATCGAAAATAGAAATACCAGCATATGAAATAAAGCCTACAACGGTGATGCTGGAAAGTTGTGAAACTATGGAAAACCCTAAGACCCACAAATCGTAGAGTGCATTCAACAACCAGATATTTTGAGTGTCATGGAGATCAATAAACCTTGTTGACAAATGACAATTTGTGAACTGCCTCTCTTATAGCAAACTTGGGATTTATTTGTGGTGGCTAATGATTATTGTTATTATTTGAAAGAACAACCAACCTGAAAGTGCAGTTTTGGAACCTTATCAATGTAAAAAAGGCATAATTATTGGACGGAGTGTAACTACATAGATCTTAACCTAAACCCTAAAGATTAATAGACTAATTACGGGAACTTTTACCCAATATGTAAAGCAATCCAGACATTAACCTGAAAGAAAAAAAGTTGATTTGACGAGTAAAAAGCTATGAATTTAAATCAGACTGTCTAAAAGCTCAGATGATTTTCTAAAAATTGCAAGACTTACAAGTGTGTATTTCATAGATTCTGGTTATGAAGAAAAATATTGATCTAACGAAAAAAAAATATAAGCAAACAAATAAACAATAGGACAAAACACGAAAATTGTTACTAATAGGCCTACATATGTTTGTCAAATAAATAAATAGCAAGAATGCAAGATGGATAACCTAATGGCGATTAAGATGCTTCCTCCTTAGCTTTTTGCATAATCAGCCATTATTGGGTGGTTTTGATCATGTATAGTTTGATAATTGAGCAAGTGTTGTGGGAACAGACCTATGGGAGCTTAGAGACAGAAGACCATCTAGTGGGTTGTCGTTTTTCATGCAGACGTCACCCGTTTTTTTGTGCAGATTTTCTTAAAAGCTTGAAATTTTTGGTATTGATGTGGCTACATGACGAACTTGGGAAGTATCATTTCAGTCTGAAGTACTCTCGAACTTAAAAGAAGTTTTAACAGCGTTTCAACTGGGAAAATCAAATTTCAAACCAGATGAAAAGCCATTGAATAAAGAACCATGTTGATCCCAGACGGCCTTGAGAATTTCCACAGCAACGCATACAAGATATAGTTAATTCTCATCTAACAAATTCCTAGATCCTTTTCTAAGCGTTTTCAGTCAAGAATGGCCCGTCCTAATCATCCATCTAAATCAACGCAAAAGCATGAAGTTCATGACCACATTCAGCTCTCTTAACCTTCGAGTCTTTCACAACTTGCACGTGTGTCCTATTTACGTTTCAATGTTCTATTCTCAGTATTGGTTATATTGGTCAAGTTTTTACCATCTTCATCCAGACGCACAGGCATATTGTACACAAATTCAAGTCTACAATTCACAGTTGGAAAATATCTACCTTTGCATTCCACCGAATAGTTCCACTTTCTGATTTTACATGGTCGTCAGCCGTTGTTTTGGTGGATGGCATTTCATGCTCAGTTGGCATCTCCTCTTGCACAAAATCATGTTCAAAACTGTTCAATAGCACCAATTAGTTAATTTTCCGATGGGAGGGTGTCCAACAAACTAAATCAACAACTATACACCCTACGCCCAGTAATATGATACACTTGAATTTTAACAGAGATCAAGAACATATACCATAAGTTCAGTTCCTGAAGTGATCCTTTTATAAATCCATTTATTATTCGTTTGCCACTTGACTGATAATATATGAGATGGAGTAAAAAGATGCATCTGTATCTGCTGCAATGACAACCTTAGAAGTGTAGGATAGTCTTTTGCAACAAAGAAGTTAACAGTTTTTGGCATCCAAATGATAAACCTATCAATTATTTTGAAATGGGGGGACAATGTCCCTAAGAGTGCCATAAATAATGCAAAATCAGGACCAGTCTCTCAAATCTAAAGTATATGAGGATCTCGTAAAAAGAAAATTGCATCAACAACGAACCAATGGAAGAATGCACCTTTGAGAAGCACTTCAACGTTTAGAAAATCAAAAAGGCAGCTTCAGATAATGGCTCAAAAGCTAGAGAGTGATAAACAACAGAAGCTAAGAAAACAATGTTTTCTTAGCTTCTCAAAGGTGCATTCTTCCATGTTCTAGCAGCAGGTTCACAAAGACAGCCACCAAACTAGCTCTACCCTCAATATTATTAGAAGTTATAAAATTAAAACATAGCCGCATCCGCACTAATTTACTTCATTTAATCTTCTCGCTATCTAAACCAAAAAAGGATTTCGAAGTTGGTTGTTTTTGGTATGAACTAATTGCTTTATTATTATTTGATTTTGCAAATATCTATTCCCAAATATTTAATCACCAACTTATTCAGAATATAGAGCCACAGAGTATTCTTTGCTATGCATACAAAGAGAATCACTCAAACATCAAAAGGCGAACTTCCACTAAAAAATTATGTGTACTGCTTTTGAGCAAACATGCACCAACCACAATTTGCTTTCTTAAATCCCATAGAAGTCTACACACAGCAGGAGAAAAACATCAAAATACAAAGTCCTATGGACGTAGAAAAGAGATTTTAGAACGAGACAACAAACAAAAGCAATAGAAAAGAAACAAATTAAAAAAAAACAAGAGCAACCATACCTGATAGGGGTGTTCAGAGAAACATTAAGGTCCTCCTGTGACCAATTAACAACCACCTGAAACAATTTATCACTCAATTGCATGTCGAATAATGAAGAATGAGGAAATACTGATTCAATTGAAAATCAAGTTACCTTGGAACATTCTGGAGAAATAAATAGCCTAGGATACCGTTTATCCATGGACAAATAATCCCTCTCAACATCCAACAAATTAAATGAATAGACCTGCAAATATACTACTTCAAATCATTGGAAATGTGTGATAAAAAAGCATCCATTCAACGATAATGAACAAATAAAAGCATTGAAAAATTAGCCACGAATGTGTGAAAAGAATTCAACAGATGCCTTGGCCTCTTTAGAGCTATAATCCACGTTTTTTTGAAGAGAATGAACCCAAAAAGAAAAGTGAATAAGAATCTACAGCCATCTTCATCAAGTCAATCAACAACCACCTTAGATCACCAAAAGAGCTAACCATGGAAATCCCCACAAGGGTTCAACTGTTGCTGGACAGAAGGGAGATAGAGTGTAGGTGAAGAGAACTATTGTCATGACAAAGGAATGATCAAAGAAGCACAGGAATTACACCATAGCTTAGATCAAAAAGATGATGGAGGTGAGGATACATAGCAAACGCACAGGGATGACAGCGAACAGATAGTAATCTTCAGTAAAAGAAAAGCCAATAGATGGAATTGGAGCACGGGAAAGTCGATATAAAGAACCTTCAGCCCACCAACCCAACAAGAAATGGTACGTCCTTCTCAAAGGAAGAGGTATATTCAACGACAAAGCTCGTATGAGGCTTTTTTTACCTTGCAGGCATATTCTCTTCGTTTTTCTTTAACAGGTGAATGGCGCCTTCAGCATAACAGAACACCAAGTTAGTTATGAAGGCTGCAAGATACACTGGCAGCTATACATACAAAACTTTAGCAGGCACAAAAGTAAGCAACAAATTCCACCTATGCGGAGCTTCAACGCGTGGTGATTCCCGCCTTGAAGACCTCCCAGCCTTTACTGATGACGAACCACCTCGGTCCCTAGAGATTCTGGGTGGAGTTCGTTCGCGCCTAATTTCGATAACACGTTTGGGCTCCCTATCTCTTTCCTTTTCCCGCCGTTCCAAGATTCTTTCTCGTTCCCTCCTACGCTCTCGTTCCCGTTCTCGTTCACGTTCTCGTTCACGTTCTCGTTCACGTTCCCGTTCCCGTTCTCGCTCCCTCTCCCGTTCTCGTTGTCGTTCCCGTTCTCGCTCCCGTTCACGTTCTCGTTCTCTCTCTCTTAAAATCTCCCTACGATGTTCTTCCTCCCTTCGCTCGATCTCCCGAGCATATTCCATGTCATCTTTACGATCATCAAGCCTTCCATAACCACCACGTGCCAACATACCACTTGGATAATCTGATTCGAGAGATGTCCCATGAAGACCCTTTCCTGAAGCATAGGCCCTGCCAGGAGGTAGGCTAACTCCATAACCAGGATTTGCAGAACTATGAGCAAACACGAGGTCTTCCGCCTCTCTCCTTGGAGCAGCACCTAGAATGGACGGAGCATGTTGTGCACCATGTGGTGTAGAACTTATCATTGATATAGTATGAAGATCAGCATCCATTCTCCCACCATAAGGCAAAAGTTCTTGACCCGCATGACGAATGGTAGCTGCTCTTGCTGCTAGATAATCAGCTTGTCTGCCAGAAATGTTTTGCTACTTAGTCTTATAAGATCTATTAACTTTGAACTTTTACTTCAACAATTCTCTTTTAATTTGTAAAGCTGTTGACATGTGAACCGTATCGAAGTAGTATGCCATCAGCATTTAGTACATCCATTGTATCTCATTCATAGAATCATAGGTGATCACAATTTATGAGGATTATGGACGGAAACTAACATAAAGAAGAACACCCATGAGCATGATAAAAATATATTAAAATATAACATAAAGAACAAAATCAATTGCCAAAGCAATGGACAAGTATTTACTTCACATTTTGTGAGGTAGCATACCTAGAACTCCCGTCTATAGAAGCAGATTGGAGCGACTGAGCCTGTAGCATTTCTTGCCGTAATGCTGATGCCGCATCTAATCGATCATATATGTCCGGCTGTTCCAGAAACAGTTACAACTTAAACATCAATGTATAGGGATTAAATAGATGTACCAAGTACCAGTAGACAATAAGAGGAATTTGATGTACAATTTAAGACAAAAATATTAACCAGCAAATATTAGTAAATCCAAAACCTGATGTTGATGACCAAAAGCAATTGAATCAGCAAATCGAACACTTGACTCATTTTGCAAATCTCGCCCAGTATATGCACTTGGTCGATCAGCATATGGAAGTCTATCCCCTGATGGATAGTCAGTTAGCTTATCAGGGAACATCTTTTCCCCTTTCTGACCATACTTTTGGCTAGCTGCAGGGTAGTCCCCGGATGTGAACTTTGACGACTCTTGCAAGGTTGAGCCATAACCACTTCGACCTTCCAAAACAGATGGTCCAGCTCCTTTGGCACTTGTAGCTGGAACCTGCAAAGGTGACTTTAAGGTTTATATACTCAATCACGAAACATTTGAAACCATAAAAAATATTAGGAAGATGCTACTACAAGGATGATATGCAACTTTCATAATAGATTCACAAGAAAAGAACCCTAAATGGAAAAAAAAACAAGCAAATATATTACCTGCCTGTTAGGTGAATACAAAGATTCAGACTTCATGTAGATAAGAGATCCCTTATTGACAACTAAAAGTAACAAATATAAACTAAAAGCAGACCTCGTCGAAGCTTGGATCGCAATTCCTAGTTACCATGAAAAGAAGTTGAAATCCTATAAAAAGTAATATAATTGACCAGCCTATATTTATTTAACTTCAGCCAATAGCATGTGACCGTTGTCAACTTCCATTTCCTTTTTGCTCTAATTTTCTTTCAAGACCCTTTCTGCATATTTTCAAATTATTCCATATCTGCTTACCACCTCCAAAGCAGCAACAAGTGACATGTCCATAGAAAAGGTCATTATGTCAACAATCAACAATGGCTTTTCGACAAAAACACAGAGTGGGGTGTCCAAAGTTGGATACATTTCTTTATGTTTGCAAATGGTGAAGCAGCTAAGTGATAAGTGGTGGGCCTGGTGGCCAATCAGACAAAGCATCTGACAAATAGATCTAAAATAATCATTATCGTGTATAGTCAAAGAAAGATTTTACAGATCATACAGTTCACTGACCTGTAGAGCACTGTTGAGTGCCGTTGAACCATACACAGAAGTATATTGACCACCATAATGAGCCCCAGCAGATGAATGTCCACCTAACAAGGCTGAATGTCGTGAAGCGATGGACATCTGAGAGGCAGTATCAGGTCCCAGCTTCACCGAAATACAAAGAAAAGTCAGAAGACACAAAAACGTCAATTGTAGCTTTCAGTCAAGTTAGCGTTGAACTAAGGTAATTAAATTCGAAATAACATTAAGAAGATAAAACGTTAAAAAAAGAATGCAAATTAAAAAGCCCTACAAGTTTAGTTGTCAAGTTAAAAAAAATTCCAACAGATGTCGATGTGAGTTTTGTACTTTCTTGGAACACTTTGTATAAATCACGAGGATGATTTGTTTAACTTTGTTGAAGGCCTAATTCCAGAAACTAGAATCCCACAGTTTCCAGAAGAAAAAGCAGATGAATTCTCTATAATACCAGAAAATGTAACAATTGCAATAATTGATAACAAATATTATCAAAAGAAAATGGTAGTGTCATTATCATATTCATGATGAATCCATATGGACTGACTTGAATGCTGCTATGTGTGACCTGACAAGTCCAACTGAATCTTTTCACCGACAACAAGCACTAAATTGTTTCAAGTAAGTCGATAAAATCGACCACAAAACTAAAATACTAGTTTTATATAGAAAAATTAGGTAGCATGTTCCCTGATAAGCCTTTTCTCCAATAGAGAAATGACCTACTAACTTTCTTTAACGCCCTCTCAAAACACGATTCCAAACTAACTACATGTTTTTCAAACAATGGAGCTAGGAAATGATCCTACATATAGCCTAAAATAACATAATTTCAAAAGTTTACATGAATGAAGGAATGAATAGAATACTTTGGCTTGTTCCGTAAGTAATTTCTTTTCTATCTTCTGGGTTCATATGGATATCTGTATCTGATCACATTGTAAATAGTTGCACATAAAAGGAGTTACAGTAACAAGCTTACGTTTTGACCATAAGCAGATTGACTGGAGTATGACTGTGGCTTTGGCTGTTGCTGTTGTTGTTGCCCATACGCATTACTCCCTCTAGAAGAATACATGCTTTTTCACACGAACGTTAAATTCCAACAACCTACAATTTTTTTAGCACATCAGTGAAAAAAAAAACTACACAAAGCATAGCATCCCCAATTCAGTTTTCGCAATAACCATCCAATTTACTACTAAATTATTACTTTGATTACCGACGGTTCCATTCTTAGGCGAAAATAAGGTTATGTTCGGCAAGGTTTTGAAATTGAAACGAAACAAAATCAGCACAAATTTTGAACCTTTCGTTCGACTTCCCAAAATTTCATGCTCCCAAATACTGCATACCCTATCTTATAGATGTATGGTGGTACCTGTCAAATCGATTACGGCAAACGCGTCGGAGGTGTACGATCGCCAGCCCAGTTCAACAAACGAACAGAAGGAGTTGATCAATAAAAAAGTAGGTGCGGTGTGAACCTTAGCACCTGAGCCAGACTAGAACCGGAGCAGCAAGTCAATTTGGGGGAAGCTTTCAGCCCTAATTTTGTTCATATACCGGTTTAACTTGAGCGATTTTATTCGGCCCTTTCACAGTAGGGCCTTCAAAAATTATTACAAGGCCCATCAAGGCCCAGCCAGGATGGACCGAAAAGGCCCAGGACCATCGAGGTTAAATGAGCATGTAGGTTACATTTGTTATCCAGACTAGAGATGGCCAAATGGGCCCGGCCCGGCCCAGTACTGTCGGAGGACAAGGACCGGGACCGACAAAGGACCGGCCCGGGACCGGGACCGGTAAGGACCGGTTATGGGACCGAAAACCAGGACCGGTTGAGGTTTTTGGTAGTTTCGTGGGACCGGGACCGGGACCGGTTATGGGACCGACTATGGACCGGCCTGGCCCGAAAATTCAATTAATTTTATAAATAAATGTATTTTTAAATAATTTTATAATGTATTTTTATAAGAAAACGTAATTTTAATTATATTAAAACGCATTTTTAAAKWRTATTTGAGTGACCCAATTGTAAATTTTATAATGTATTAAAAATATATATCATTAAAAAAAAATCTTATTTTTTTAATGAAGGACCGGTTGGAACCGGTTGGGACCGGGACCGGTTATAAAGTACCTATACCGGTCCTATCATTTTCGACCGGGACCGGTTATGGCCGGTTATGAGAATGATGAGAACCGATTGGGACCGGCCCGGGACCGGTTTTTGGTCATCTCTATCCAGACATAATAAAATATGACAGAATATAACATAAGAGACAGGTATGGGAATGGGATGGGAATACCCGTCCCATCCCCGACCCCGAGTCCCCATATTTGTCCTCGTTCCCATCCTCATCCATGTTCTCGTTCCTAACGGGAAACAGGGATCCTACAGAGAACGGGGAACTTTTTATGCTAAAAACTATACAATATTCGTTATTTATTGAACTAAAAAATATTAAGTCAACGGCAGTAACATTGCAAATTTGCAATTTCCATCCAACCAGGGAAGAAAGTGTAAAATAATACTATCAAAGTCAAAAGTGAAAGTAAAAACGTTATTAAAAAAAGTAAAAAACACTGTCAAAATATTAAACTAAAACTTGAACAAAATCATAAAGTTTAAACTAATACTACCAAAGTTAACGTCAAGCATACTAAAACCACATCGAGTAATATTCAGTACATATCAAGTAATTGACTAATTGTATTTTGACTTAGAATTCACAAAAAATTACATATTATTTACCATCCAAAAAACAGCACTGTCACTTGTTACTCAACATCCACGTCATATGTAACTGTTTCATCAAATGCTTTAGACTCTCCATGTTTTTTATCAACAAAATGTAAGACAAGTTTGGAAAATTGTAAATATATATATATGATTGAAAATTTAAATGTTATTTACCATGAAGTTCTTTTCTTAACCAACTTCGTAATTCGTCGCTTCAACTTCGTTCAATCGCTGGAGGGACAAAAGGAAAAAATCGAAAAACGAGTTTCTTAGTTTTATGTTTCTATGCCTAATATTCCAATAACCTAATACAATAACACATTAAAAGCTAACAATGTGACATAATTAAATAAATAATATATTTTTTAATTATTAAATATTTAATAAATAATACGGATACAGGGCGGGGTGGAGAGTGAGATACCTGTCCCCGACCCCCTCCCCGGTTTGAACCAAACAGGGATCCCCGTCCCCATCCTCAGGACCCGGTTTAGCGGGAAATCTCTATCCTCGATTGGGACGGTTCGACCGGGTTACCCGACGGGTCGGGCCCAATCTCCATGCCTAAGAATAGGACAAAACAATAACTCAACTATTGTAAGATAGAACCATACAAGAATAAATAGATAAAATGACCATTTTACCTTAATGAGTTGTTTATATATTTCGATTAGTTATGTAATTTATTAAATTATAATAAAATAAATATTTTATATAACAAAATATATTATTAGAAAGTTTCGTTAACACGATTAAAATGACACCAAATTAAAGTGAAAGTTTAAAAAATATAAAATACAATAAGTATTATCCAAAAAATGAATTAAAATGTTAAGAGGAAGACATATTTGATGTTTTAGAAGATAATTAAGTTTTATTTTGAGGTTATATTGTTAAAACATGTGTTCCACCTTGTTCCATGGGGTAGGATGGAACACACCGGTTCCACTTTGTTCATGTTTGTTCTACATAGAAGTTCTGACAAACGTGGAACTATGATCTTTGTTATATTTTGTTATGTCATGTTCATTGTACCAGACACACCTTTAAAGAATCGAGCTTTAAAACTAGGTTATAAGGCTCGGCCATTACAATTTGAATTAAAAAAAAAAGAGTCGTTATATAACCTTTGGGAACAAATAAGTCCGTTTTCGGTCAATTTGACCATCCAACAGTACAATTTGAATTCAAAAAAAGGAGCCGTTATATAGCCTTTGGGACCAAATAAGTCCGTTTTCGGTCTATTTGGCCATCCAATAGTACAATTTGAATTCAAAAACGGGAGTCGTTATATAGCCTTTGGGACCAAATAAGTCCATTTTCGGTTTATTTGACCATCCAATAGTATATATAAGTGTTATGGGATGTTGAAAATTTTATCAAACTCTCAAAACCCTAAAAACATTCTCAACATTTTACATGAAATGTGATTTCAACTCTCTGTATTTTATATAATCTCGTATTCATATCCTAACAAATGACATCCACCATTGGCAATCCAAGTGCTTCATCCACCGCCAACGATCCCGTGGTATACGTCGTAATTGAACGTAAACGAAAATCTGATATTTGGAATATTTTTCAAGTGGTTATTGTTCAAAGTGGAAAACAATGGACACAACGCAAAAAGTGTTTGTCCATAAGATCGAGGGGACTTTGATATTGAGGTGCCATGTTGATAAATCATGTAGCGCCAAAATCGACGGAACCTTTAGTGATGTTTGAACCCCTAACCTCTCAGGAGACTAAAGACTCACATACCACTAGGACAAAAACTATTTGGTTCAATATCTACTAGTTGTAGTGTTTTGTCTTGTTAGTAGCCAATAAATGATGATTGATGTTCAAAATGAAACTAGTAAGATATCTATATATGATACTGACTTACATGAATTAAATTCGTATATGCATTCTACTTTTGTTAAGTATTTTGATTTATCATTATGTCACGCGATAAATTAATAATCCAAGCTAGCGTGTGACAAATCCATGAAATCAAACCCAAAAAACATAATTTAGAAAGAAAAAAGACCTCTATTTCGCATAAGCTAAACAAGCTTGTAACATATAGTTATTAAGGGGGTGTTTGAGACTGCTTATAAAAACAACTTATTGATTTATTCCGATGTGACACCGGTAATAAACACTTTTGATTGTTTGGATAAACAGCTTATACCGGTGACAAACCTGTAATAAGAAGTTTTTAAATAAGTTAAACCATTATAACTTATAATAAGTTGATAAAGACTTTTGTAAAAAAAACATAATTTGTTTCAAATAAACAATCTCAAACACCTCCTAAAGGTCAAGTACTATAGTATCGGCCTCCATTTAATTATGGTGTCAAATATTATAGTATTTGCCTCCATTTAATTATGGTGTCAAGTACTATAGTATCTGCCTCCATTTAATTATGGTGTCAAGTACTATAGTATCNTGCCTCCATTTAATTATGGTGTCAAGTACTATAGTATCTGCCTCCATTTAATTATGGTGTCAAGTACTATAGTATCATGATCTTATATTTGAAGCAACGACGTATTTTATTAAAGGTCAAGTAGCACAGTGTTCAAGAATACAATGAATACTGCAAAAATGGCATCATAAATAATGGCCAGTTCGTTTTATGATTTTGAACACCATTTATCTTTTGCTTTAAGTGCAATAACAACTGATGTTGAACACTATTTATCTCTCGCATCATATACGTATATTTAGATGTCTATGTCGTAAGCAATTTATGTAACATTGATGGTTGTACATCTTAATGCATACAACACGAGATCAAGTATAAGTCCTCCCTAATTGAGTATCTCGAAGACAGTCAGCTCAAGTTGTAAGTATAATTGTTATTATGATAGCGTTTGACCGGCAACATAGAAAATAGAGTAGTAATAGATGACAAAATATGTATTTCATTGATATATTTGTTAATGGATTGCGATTATAAGTACAACATGCATAAAATTCACATGCGACGTTACAATCACAATAAAAAGAAATCATAGTCACTCGTAAGATCACCATAAAACACCTGACACCACCATCTTATACTTGCTTTTGTTTCATAATGTCGGAAATCGACTTTAGTGTGTGTTGTATTGTTGTATTAAATGCAATCTGTGTGCCAGTTACCTCAATATTTATGGATCTTCAACCATCTTCTTTTTATGATTTTGATAACTTTAAAGTGATGTCACAAAACGTGAGATGTACAACTTATTTAGTAGTTTATGATAATTTTATTGAAAAATTTACAACTTTTTCTTAAATCTTGCAAATCTAGGTAAAGGTGTACATAAAACCGTCAATCCGCGAAACCCATCAACCCAACCCGCTAACAACCCAATATGTCCAACAAAAATGCTTATCTTTTATACTAGTAATGATATTGAGATGTGATTTAACAAGGAGAATTAACAAAAAGCCGTAGCTAAGTTTGTGGTGAAGGATGAACAACCTTTTAGTGTTGTAGAGGGTAAATGATTTACAGAACTTGTTAAAGAGTTGCAACTTAAATTTGGTGTCCTTAATAGAGTGATTGTTGCTAGAGATATCTATCGGTTGTTTTGCGTAGAGAGGATTAAATTGAATAAAGAGTTAACGAAGGTCATACAAAGAATATGTTTATCAACTGATTGTTGGACATCTTCCACACAAACGCTGGTCGTATTTGATTGATGATTTGGATTGTTTGAGACATATATTATTCAAACTTTTGAAAGTACTTGATTGTACGACTTAAAGATTTAATTATATATATGGGTGATTGTAATAACTGAATAACTTCGTTTTGTATGTTTTAGTAGTACTTGTCATATTTCATTCCATTATATTACTATCAAACCGCTCAACCTACCCACCCGCCACAACCCGCAAGGGTTGGGTTATACTTTTACGAGGGTTGGGTTGAGATTTTTAAACCGTCATAATTGAGTTGAACTGTAAAAATCTCACATTGTCCAATCCAACCCGTCTACACCCCTAAATCCAGGTACTATTTTAGTTCCCAAAACACGTTGTATCCAATACTTCTAAAGAATAATTGGAGAATCCCCTGAATTTTATAATAAGGTTGTTACGTTAGTTGTTCGTTAGGTCTAAATCATATATGCATTCCATAATTGCATTGACCACTATTTTTTATGTTATTTTTATTCTTTCTTCACATTGTGATTAGACATGTAAATACGACATTTTGCACTATTTCGATTTTTACTGTGAATCAGATTTATAAATTTCTACAGATCGATCAACTTCTGTATTCTTTATTAAACAATCATTAATAAAATTAAACATAAAAGAAACTGTTTGATTTTACATATTTATATTGAAGCGACAAATTTTTATTCTAATTTTGATATTTACCATTTTTATTTTGCTCTATGATATTTATTTATTTAATTAAAATTAAATTAAATGATGTATTAAAAATAGAAAATAAAAAAGAGGGTGCATTTATTCTGGCCTGAAAGTTATCAATTATATGATCCATCACCATCGTAGGCTCTTAGGGTAAAATGGTGACAAGTGTGGCATCAATTGCTTATTGGGATTTGCAAATTTGCTGAATTCCAAGATCTGCACGACCAAACAATCTTGAAAAGCTTCAACAGAAAAAACTCAATTCAACTTCCACCCTTTACACACTCTGTCCTGTGTTCTGTTGTCCCATTGGCCAAACCCCTCAACTTCCACCCTTACGACACCCTGTCCTGTGTTCTGTTGTCCCATTGGCCAAACCCCCCCTTAATGTTATTATTTACAAAATAAAGATCAAAGGTGTGTATGTCTGTTCTCTAACAGCAATTGGGATTAGCAGTAGTTTGCGTGGTGAGTGAAAAAGGCAACAGAAACCACCAATTAGAGCTTCCCTTCTTGAAAAGTTGGGACATAAACCCCCCCTTTCTATCTTTCTCTCAAATAGCACACGCTTTTATCAAGTTTCCTGTACATGGTCACGTTACTCGTTGTTATCAATCTCGGCTTACGGGACTTCGATGATGTAATTTCAAGATTTGGGTGCTGAAATCTGTAGAAAACAATGGAAATATGAAGTTTTTTTGCGGGGATGTCGTCATTTGTCCTTTTGGGGTTTGGAAAAGGTATATTCAGTACTTATTTGGCGATTCTGCGTTCGATTCGTATGATTTTCGGATAAATTGAAGGATGTTGTGATTTTCAAAGGTAGTCTTGATTTTGATTATTGTGTGATTTGTGTTATAATTTGAGCCGAAGAATCTAGGGTTTTAACCTTTGGGGTAATAGTAGTTCCCATTTTTCCTATATGAGATTCTCAGTTTGGAGATTCAACGCTACATAATTCAACATACTTTTCCGAATCAATACTTTTTTTTTTATCTAGAGATTCATCAATACATACTTCGTTTTTGCACATAAAGACTCAAGATTAGTAAAGGTTTAATATTGCTTGGTGATATACGAATTATGGACACGGGTTTTCACCATGAACAAACTTTAAGCCCTTCTTTGAATCGGCATGCCATATCATTCCAATCGAGTGCCATGGACAGCACAACCGAGATGATCATGATGGGGGATTACTATCGGATGAATAGTACAGCAGGCTTGATGTTTTCAGGGAATTCTGGTATGGTAAACAGCAGTTCAGGATATGCACAAGTTGGGAATTCGTGTGCTTCTCTTCCTTCGGATTCGGTCCCAGGGCTGAAACATGATGCAGGCTTGGCTGTGGAGTGGTCTGTTGAGGAACAGTATAAGTTGGAGGAAGGAATTTCTAAGTAGGTACCTTGTTCCAAATTTATAAATATGCATGCTAGTGTACTTATTTTGCTGGCATATGTCCTAATTAATTGTAGATTTCTTGTTCTTGTGATTTTCTGTTTTCTTAATGTTATTATTCTACCTGTCTACCACTACAATGTAGTATTTGTGAATCTAGTGGGAAGGGTCCTAGAGCAGAGGGGGATAACTTAAATATGATATAAACCACATGTGACTCTCAAGAGATGAACGCTAGCATCTTGAGGAATGGACTGCCCATGGGGACCTCAAATTTCCATGTTTGATTAACCTACCTTAGTTGCAAAGATTTTATTGTTGCAGATCTTGAACTTTACGTCTAGAAGTATTCTTTTTTGCATGCTTTTAGGACTCATATTTGGTAACTGTATCTACTTTTGACTGTGAAACAATTGATTCAGATTATACTGAATTAGAGGAGACACATTTTGTTGCTTCTTTTTTTTCTTTCTATATTCCTAGATATTTTTAGAACTGTTCCTTTGGTTGTGATATATTCCAGGTGTAGGTTTATGTTTAAACAGTTGCATTACTCACTTTAATTCCTTGTCCATAAATGCTCATTTACTATTTTTCTTTCTTATCTACAAATACTCATTTACTAATTTGTTTGATATAAGCTCATGGCTTGTTGCATATTTGTAGATATGCTGATGAACCCAGTATCATGAGGTATATCAAGATTGCTGCTACATTGCGTGATAAAACTGTTCGTGATGTTGCCTTAAGGTGTAGGTGGATGACGGTAAGCTTGTCACTCAATTTTTTTTGAACCATATAATATTTATATACGACAAACAAACACACACACTTCGCTCCTTTGTGAGGTTTGAACCCTTGACCTCCTGGGGCTGGGCTCTACTGGTAACCCATATACCCTGGACCAATGACCCTCTGGTTTGCCATTCATTTTTCTTGATATATTGGTTGCCTTCCTTTGATTAAGAGAATAACATGGTACATATCTTAATTGTCATTCAGGACAAACATCTTTTGTATTTTATTCTGCTACAGATGTCATAAGTCCTAAAATGCATAATGGATGGTCGTCCATGCTCTTTATTACAATTTTTTCAATATTAATGGATCATGTAAGGTTTTGTTAATGATCCTTCTCCGAAAGCTCACTCACTCCCTTCTTCACTCATGCACACACAATGTATCTGCTAAACTTAAGGCTGCATTAGCCTATCAAGTCCAGGTCTAAATAGGAGAAAGCTTGGTGTTGTACTTATATCTTCAACTGCCAACTTATTGGACATAGTTACATCTGAGTTCTGGCACCTAGAAACATAATCACATGAGTCTGGAACGTATATCGTTTCCTATAATTTGAATACGATATTTAAGCATCTGTCAGAATAACCTTATTAAAGATATAATAATTGTTATTGTTCCTGATAATGCAAAAAGGAAGGATCATATCCCTTTACACTTTTTAGCTAATTTCATCTTGGAATTGCAAAAGGACTATAGAGACCTCATTTGTAGTGGCTGGGGAGAATTCAAATACTTTACTGTCCACCTTTATCTCTGGATTTACTATCAAATACTGAATGCGTTGATTAATATTCCCTCTTCTTGTTTCTGCTTTGATTACTTGACTCTTACTAAATCTAATATGGTGTATCATGGGCCTTCTTTTGTGTTAGCAAATCAGTTCTGACATAAGCTCATTGATTTGGGATCTTACCACCCTTTCTCCTGCTTATTCTACTTGGAACGCCAAAGGATCCCTTTGGTAAAGCTGTTGCTTGGGATTTCGCATAAGCAGTGAAAAGATTGCAAGCCCTCAAAAGCCTCCTTTGGAAGTGTGTCGAGTTTGCAGGATAGGGAGGACTCTTGAGTCTTGACCATCTCTCCTTTCCCCTTAAATGATAGAAGAGTACATCTCCACTTGATGCTTCTAGAGTTTGATCCTGTTCAGGGCCGTTCCAATCTTTTTGGAGGCCCTGTTATACTTGTATGAAGAAAATATAAAAGTTTACACCAATTTTTAAAATTAAATCGACGTAAATGTTTTAAAATGACAAAGTAACAAACGAAATTCACTTAACTCTTCTAACATTGTTCGAAACAAAATCTTCGATTAGTTCATAATTAACTTTCTCCAACAAGTCGTTAAATTGAAATATTAGCATATAGGAGCTTACCAACTGTTGTTAAACTCAACTCTCATTGCGTGTTTTCAAAGGACTATAATGATCTAAACAATGACTATCAATATCACAATGGCCGAAGTCAATGGAATTGCAGGTAAGGTTGCTCGTCGAACAAGAAAGAGCGAAACAAAGAACAAGAAAGAGGAAGATTATTAAACAGGGTCATCAATCATAAATTAGCCATCGGGACAACAAAGATGAACAGGACTAGCCAACTAGGAGAGTTCAATTTTCACATTAGAGACCTAAGGAGAAGGGATTGCATCTTTGCAGTTGTAATTGGGAATCGGCAAATCGGTTAATCTGGTAAAAGAGAGAAGAAATTGGGGCATTGGGCTAAATTGCTAAAACATTATAATCGCCCAAATGGGCTAAAATAAGAGGGAGAAGGCCGAAGGGGTTGAGCTAAAACACAGGATAAAAAATAAATTATATAATTGGTAAAGGTTAAAACATATATAATTGAATCCCAAAAAGGTTCGTGGGCCCCAAAAATTTTGGGAGCCTGTTCGGAATCTTACATCGGTACACCCTCTTCTGCTCTGGTGCTGTTTTGTATAGCAAATAAAGAAGAATATTGAGAAAGGGCCTAGTGGATCTCTAATTTTTAAATTTCTAATCCTGTGGCGTTTTGGATGTTGTAGCCTATTTGGTGTGTTTTTAAAGACTTTGTGTCCATTCATACTCTTGGCTTCCTTTATTGGTAATCTTGTGTGTCCGCACCAGCTTGCGCACACCTCGACTAATCCCATGGGGCTCTGAAGATAACAGCCTGGAAAATCCCTATAGTTCGGAGAAGACTCGAACCGTTTGACCATGGGAAGGAGCTCCAAGTCCTAACCTTTATTGCCAATTGAGTTGCTTCCTTGTTGCTTTTGACATGGGTGGTATGAGAAGAATATGTAGATGTGCCTTTTTGTTGGATAAAGGGACGGAACCCCTTGGAAAATTTTATTCAAATGCAGATGTGTTGTTTTTAGTAAGATTTTGGTTTTTGTAGCTTGGGAGGTATAATAGGGTCTCGACATAGTTCTTTGTTGCTCCTACTTTGCAGGGCAGATTTGTTTCATTTTTTTCTGGGCTACAGTGACTAGGGCTATGAAGGATCATAATTGAGGTATATGCAGAATTCAAGGGGCTTTATTAATTTATTTTTTGTGCCGAGTTTTATTACCTCTTTTATTTTAAATACACCGTTCCAATTTTAACTTTTGTAAGACAATTGCTTCTACTCCCTCTGTCTCAGAACAAGTGGAACAATTTTTTGATGGGATGTCCCAAAATAAATGCAATATTTACCTTTCGCCGAAGTTCGAAACTTACTTTTTGGCACATTAGTAATCCTTACAAAATATTTTGAGCATTGATTTTGCTCCATAAGATCCATCATTTGGTCAATTTCAGGGGTATCTTAGATATTTATCTAACAATTGCATGCACCATCAACACTTTCATTAGACTATATACCCAATCAAATGCTAGTTCAGTTCGGGACGGAGAGAATATTGTTTTCCCTATGAACATGAAAATCTTTATAAACAAGCGTGATAAAGGATATATTGTCACAACATAGTTTTTTTTTTTTGTTTTTTCTGGGATATTAAAGAGGAAGCCATTCTCCCTAAATGAGACTATAGGTCGGTTCTTTTTTCCTCTCTCTTCTCTCTCTCCATCCCGTTAGGCGTCTTTAGAAGCATTGTTGCGTTCCTAGTTTTTTATTCACTTGCTATCATGCATGCCTTATGCCTATACCAACAATGCTATTAGCTTGCACTCTTTATGGTTCTCATTCATCGCATAAAATTAGAAGTTTAAATTGCTTTTCAGAAATTACCACTTAACGATTATATGTGAACCATGAATAGCAATAGATAGAGTTTGTTGAAGTAGAATGATGTGCTTAGAAGATGAATATAAATCCTTATTAAAAGTAAGGCTGTCCGGCAAAAATGATTGGAGCAAAGATTTTTTGCTCCAAACATATATTTTGCTAAACCTTACCAAAATGTTGCCAGAAATTTGGATATTTTGAAACTTGAAGAGCTTTCAATCAGATCTCGGATTATTGGGCTTACCAACACCTGACAATAGGTTACCCTTTTTTTTTGTCTAGCCAAACAGAAGCCGCCAGTTGTAATCCTGACAAAAGTTTTTTTTTAACTGAGAGAATAAAAGGAACCTACATTTTTCAAAACTTGGACCAAAATATGATTTTTATTGCCTGGTGGAACTTTTAAACATTCGATGCATGGAAGAATGTGGTGGAAGGCATGCGGATTTACATCAACCATCATAGTCATCATTTTGCATAACCAAATTGTTGAGGGCAAATTGCATCAGAATGGAGCGTTCATTGTTTCGTTTCTATTTTGGGGAACCCACTTCAAAAGCTCCATTTTGGGGAATATACTACGTCTTTGATGCAATTACGGGAACATACTAATGCAAATAAGGGAACAGAGTCACAGGCTATAAAACTTTGTGAACAAATAGGAAAACTTACTATAACTTTGTAAATACAAAATCATTCTAGGATTCTTTTTAATTAAACTTTCTTGTTTGCCTAAAATAGGAACTACAACAAAGTACATTCTATTTTGAAGCCATTTGCTCAATTAGCAACTACCTGAACCGGGCTGTTTATCCAGAGCTTTTATTGCATGTACAATAGTACCTTTGTTCTGGGCATTAAGAAATGCATTTGATCAATTTATTGGACTTGCTTGTTTAGATGCTTACCAACATGAGATATTTGGCAGAGAAAACGACGGAAGCAGGATGAGCTGAAGTTGGGAAAGAAGTTAAAAGATAAGAAGGTATGCAAATGCAACCACTTTCTCCCATTTTACATTAATGTGATCAAAGCAACTGAGCGAGAATCTGTTCAATTGGTTGAGGCGATCAGAAATGTTAATCATGTTAAAAAAAAATTGTGTGTGTATATATATAGACTTCAGGGGAAAACCACAAAAAAAGGGAAAATTAAGAAACACCCTAATAATTATTCATGTGTACAGTATGCTGTATGCATAGAAACCAGGATGTATATTAGGGTGTTCCTCAGTTTTATGATTTTATGTGGTTTTCTCCTGAAACTAACCCTATATATAATTATATATATATATATATCATCCAAAGTGAATAGTATTGGAGTAAAGAAAAACGCATACGAAAGGTTAAATGGCACTATGTTGTTTGCAACTTGGTTCTATATCTTGTTGCTTCCTCAAAAACTTTTCATTTCAAGTGATCATTTGTATGATCATAACCCTTGAGATTAATCTTCCATTTGCTTAAAGCGAATAAGATTAATCTTCATTTTATGGTTAAGGCACAAATTGCATATCACTTCCTAAGAGATTATGATTTGTTACAATTTGGCTTGACAACTTACTGTATATATGTATTGACCAAATTGCCTTTTGAGGTCTACATTGTTTGAAATATAACTTCATTCCATTGAGAGCGTTACATTTTTGATTAAAAAATTTACATGTGTCTTTTATTAAGGGTACTTTTGTCTTTCTGGGCTGAGAACAACTGAATATTACTTGGCAAAGTTTACCATTTAGTTGCAACACACTTCACGACCTTCCTTATTTGCCAAATGAAACGTTGTTGCTCAAGTATATTCAAAGCATATATAGGCTTATTTAGGAAAATATTTCTAGGGATAAGTTTTATAGGACTCCTCGACGATTCAACCTCTGACGAATCCCGAAACTGAATCAGTCGCAATATAATATGAATTTTGAAAACACGTGTAGGCTTAGCATAAAAGTATGCACGAATTTAAGAAAATTTAACTTTTGAACTGGTGGGAATTTGGATGAAGTTACCATGATACACAATCTTAAGGATTTCAGAAAGGCATGGAAAACGTGGTTTAGGAAAAATAATAATGATTCACTAAGATTTGAATGAAACGAGGCTTTCTGGAACAAGTTTTGCATCATTTCAGGACAGTCTAGATTTTGGTTGTAGGAATTAATGTATTAACTCCATTTACTTTGTGAAGCACCACAATTTGTAGCTGACACAAATTCAGCATTCTAATTGTCATGTTTCATCAGGATATGTTGGTGGAATCGTCATCAAAGCCAAGTATATCGTCACTTTCAACTTTGAATGTGGCTCCATTTTCCGTTACCATGAACAATTGGTTCCAGAGTGGTGGTATTCCTTTTGAAGGTTAGTATCTTGTGTATTTACTAAGAGGCCTCGTTGTTTCTTTTCCTTTTTTGACTACAAGTTTGCTGTTTAATAATTTGGTTTTGATTTTTGTCCGAAATCATCCACATTGGTGAGATGGATTAAGAATGACAAAATTATGAATAACTCGAGGATTCTATTGAAACCAATTAATGCAGCATTGAGCGGCTCAATAAGGCATCTTTTGGAACAAAACAACCGAGTTCTTGGTCAGATCTCTACTAATATTTCATCACTCAAGGTAAGTGTTCCTTCTAGCTTTTTGTAACGAATCATGTGTATGATAAGTCTAAATATTCAAGTATTATAAGAGACACATATATGCAAGTATTTGCTGTTCAAAAGAAAAAGAGAACGCTATTTTGAACCTGTTATATCAACCTGTTCTTGGAAGCTAACATCTTGCTTTATGACTTCTAACGACAGCTGCAGGACAATGTCGACCTCTTTAACCACGCGAAGAACAATATAACTGCCATCTTAAACGAGTACGTTAAAAAGTCATAAAACAAGTTACTTAACACTCAAAAAATAAAAAAATGGACCCTTTCTTGTTCCTGTACATATTGGCTGTTATTTCTGCTCATTTATGAAAATTCTTGCAGCATGAGATACATGCCAGGGCCGCCACTGCCTGTATCGCTAAACGAAGATCTTGCTAATAGCATTCTGCCTACTACCAGCCAGGTAACTCTTTTTTTTCAACTTTAAGAACTCCCTTTCTTGTTTTCAACCCGGGGTATATATGGAAACAACCGCTCTACTCTTTGAGGTGGAGGTCAGGTCTGCATAAATCTCATCTTGGGTTATACTAGGCTTGTTTGGTTCGGTCTTGTATACTAGTGGAAGTCAACTTTCGGCAATTTTCTTTCGTTTTGGGTAATCTGATGGCTAAATGGTTGATGATTCTTGTTGATGGCAGAAAATGACGCTCGGGTCATCAAGCAGAATGCATTTGAAGCAAGAACCAGACTATTGAGTTGGAGAAGTGTTTGATTGTAAGTAGAGAATTTAAATCTTCTGTAAATTATATATCGGTTGGCCCGTTTGGGTGTATTCCATATATCTGTATCGATTGAGCATTTGTGTCCGATTTAACGATACAAAAACTTGTAGAAAGATGCCATTTTTGGGAAGCTAAGATGATTGATTGGCTTTTACTACTTTGCTTGCTTATTCTCATTTCTAGCAACATTTTCATTCTTATCCATTTTGTGTCTCATTTGATATCACACACAAAGTTCAAACTTAGTTGTATTTTCACATCCTCTTTTTCCTACCAAAGATGGAGAAAGGTGTGTGAGTTTATTTATTACATTTGTTTTGCTGTATATATACATACATACAATTTGAAACTATAAAAAAAATTATTTCTTATAGTAAATAAAAACAAAAGCAAACTCATGAATCACCACACGATTGTAGTAGCAAACAATCCCAATGAAGAAATTAAAAATGAAAAAAGTAGACAAATGGCGAATCAAATTTCATTAAAAATGAGCCATAATTAACAAACCAACCAACCATGAATCATATGCTCAAATGTTCGTCCCTCGGCAAACTTTGGACGGTATCCGACCATCTTCCCGGCGAATGATCGCTGCTATTCGACGACACATGAGCTGCTTCAGCTCTTGTTTCCCTAATCATTCTCAACACCTCCTTCATCACCGGCCGATTCTCCGGCACAAGCGAGATACACGCCATTGCTATATTAAGAAGAGCCGTCAGTTTCTCTTCCGACGCCTCGTTTCCTGACGACGTTGGCTCGTCACCCGATTCCGTTTCTTCTTCCCTAACCGACTTCACCCATCTCGGGATATCCGCCCCGTGTTCCAAAACGAGGTCTTGAAATGGCGTCTTCCCGGTGAGAAGCTCCAAGAGAAGGACACCGAAACTATAGACGTCTGCTTGTTGGGTGAGGGGTTTTCGCATGTCACGGCATTCCGGGGCCCGATAGAAGAGGGATGACGCGCTTGATTCTTCCGGGAAATCAGGGTTTCGGAAGGACATTAAACCGTAGTCGGTTAGGCAAGATTCAAAGTCGGAGCCTAAGAGGACGTTGGAGGATTTAAGGTTTCCATGGGTGAGGCCGGGGTTTTGGTGGATGTATAGAAGTCCGGTAGCTAAATCCTCCGCGATCTTCAAGCAAGATGTCCAATGAAGAGGCTTCCCACCGGCTGACGTTCTTGATCCTGCAAACCGTTACGTCTTAACTATATATCAAATCAAATAACACAAGAACAGACGGAGAATGGTCACAGCATTTGTAGTACAATTTGACGTCGTTATCGTTTTCCCCACAGACCGATCGTCCGTGTGAAGAAAACGTTTTACCATGTACCGGGTGGTATACTTACACAAACAGGTGAGGATTTGAGTTCGGCACAAGCATTTATCTGAGTTACATCTCTTTGTAAATACTTTTTGTAAAATACTGAGCTTTTAAACCAGTCATCTGACATAAAACTATATTTGACCAAAAAGTTGATTACCATCAATCTAATATATTTAAAATAAATTATAAATGAATAATTTAAAAGGGTTGTTAGTTGAGCGTGAGTCAAATTTTTTTTGGGTTTTATTTAAAAGTAATATAAATATTAAATAAACTAAATTGATTTCTAATAAATAAATAAATTGTGACGTGTCAAAACATACCGTGGATGAGAGAGAAAAGGCTGCCATTGGGGAAATAATCGTAGACGAGCAGGCGTTCCTCTTTGGCTTGGAAATACGCCCGTAGAGGCACCAAATTTTGGTGTCTCAACCGTCCGATGACGTCCACGTGTCTTCGAAACTCCTCCACCCTAGGATACCTAGCGTCTTTCAGGCGTTTCACCGTCACGATAAACCCCGACTCCATCACCGCCTTGTACGTGCTTCCCACCGTCCCTCTTCCCAGCGTCTCCGCCGACGCTTTCAACAGATCCTCCAAACTGTAACTCATCTCCGGCTGATCTCCACCGCCGAAGAACACCAGTTTCCCTATTCCACCACCACTGTCATCGCCTTCAGATGAAAACCCACCTCCCCCGTTTTTCCCACTACCAGTCGCGGCGGCTCCGCCGCCGCCACCCGCCGCCGGGACTGCTTCTGCTCCTTTAACAGCCACATCCGGCGACTTCTGCTTTTTTCTTTTCAAGCAGATCACTAAGACTGCGATTAAAATGCATAATAACAAAAACCCACCAATGGAACCGGCTATTATGACTATAATCTTGATATTCCGGCGATGGTTCGATTTCTTGGTGGTGGGTGGGGTTGGATTCGCCGGAGCAAAAGAGGGAGACGGAGCTAAACTGCACGGAATGCCAAATGCATCACCGCATAAATCAATGTTACCAAAAAATGACGTTGAGTTGAATCGAACTAAGACAGGGGTCGCCGGAATTTGGCCGGAAAGCTTGTTATTTGACAAATTGAGATATCTTAGACCCGTTTGATTCAAGGGTGGGATTTTTCCGGTGAATCTATTGTCATCCAAGTAAAGAACATATAGTCTTTGTACATTGAGAACCGTTTCAGGAATGGCTCCGGAAAGACGATTACCGGAGAGCACAATGGTCTTGAGGCGGTGAAGGGTGGTGAGAGACGCCGGGAACTCGCCGGAAAAGTTGTTGTAAGAAAGGTAGAGTGATTTAAGGTTCGGTAATCCAGAAAGGTCTGGGATTTCACCGGAGATGGAGTTTTGTTTAAGACTCAAAACACGAATCTGATCCAACTGATTGAGATTCCCTGAATCCAATGTCCCTTTCAAGTTCAAATTCTCAAGCACAAGTTTCGACACTCTACCTCTTAAACATTCTCTAACTCCTTCCCATCTGCAGAAATCGGTTCCATTCCATTGAAGAGAATTCGATGGATCGATTGATGATTTCAAGCCCAGAAGTGCTTCTCTATCACCACCAAATGCACATTCACAACACAAAGACACCAAACACAGAAAGAAAACAACACCATTTTGCTTCATCTCATCTGGGGTTTCAACTTTAAACTCCTTTTGCTGTTTTCAATGAATCTTGAAAGCAAATCTGAGATGGGTTTTCAATTAAAGATCCATGCAAAAAGGCTACTACCTTTTCTTGTACACCTTCCTGCTTAAATTAATGGAAATGGGGTTTGAATAAGAAGGAAAAACAACTCCAAATCCAGCACTTTCTTGTCTTCCTTTTGTGGCAATGAATGGATGAAATGATTGGGGGTCAGAGAGAGAAAGAAAGAAAAAGGGTTCTTAACAACAATTTCCCCCCAAATTAAACGTCATTATCGAAGGGTTTTGGAATTTGACCGACAAAGACGACATCTTTCCAGCTTCAAGAAAACAAAAACACACAGTAACAGGAGAAGAAAGCAAGCAAGAATCTTTACAAACCACCATGGCAGCTGGTTCTTGAGTTCTTGAGCTGAACCAGAAAGATTTATGCAAACAGATCTGTAAAAGTGTGTTTCTTGAAGTTTAAAGACTCACGGACAGATGGGTAAGTCTACACGTGAACTTAATCAGAGCTTTGCAACTCCAAGAAACACCACATTCTCTCTCTCTCTCTCTCTCTCTCTACACACACAATTTGGTCAAGAAAATGAATTTCAAACCCTGGATTATTAAAATCCAATCCATGAGTTTAAGCATTTAATTTGTTTGTTTATATCACTTTTGTCTTTTGTCCTTCAGACTTCATTATTTTTATGTTATTTTTGACAAAAATATGAGTCATAATATTGTCTAGAGAGAGAGAGAGAGATGAAAGCAGCAGGTGAAGAAATTTAAGAGCAGGAGTTAATAGACACCACCATTTAAAGGGTTCATAAATCTGTACCAGGATGAGCCAACCACGACAACACTCTTCTGCTTCACCACCAGCATGGATGTCTCTTGTGTGTGTTTTTATTTACTCCTCTTTATTTATTGCTTTATTGGTGATTCAATTTCTTTACATATCGATATAAAAACTCAAGTATCAGCTCCAGTTTACACGTACCTCAACTAATCTCAAAAACTCTGAACAACAATCAGTAAAACCCCTTCAAGACTCAAACTGATCACCTCTAAGAAGGATCATCAAAAGCTCAAACCTTATAAACTGGTTTTTGGGTCAAGACAGATACAATATGTAATCAAAAACCCGCATCTGGGTACAATATTTTGTCAGTTATAGAACTGGAAACGGGTCGATGGTAATAGAAATAATGAAGAGAAAGAACACGAAATTAAAAGAATATAAAATACAAGTTAAATACAACCGCTCGTTATTTTATCATGTATTTTTAAAGTTTTTTTTTGGTCCCAACACATAATTTATATTTTTTGTTTTGATGCCATTTTATTTTCTAAGTGTTTCCGTGAGAGTCAAATCCATGTCTCGTGGTCAACTATTGGACCCATATGGTCATAATTTGTTTAACTAGTCTCAAGTTGGGTAGATTCACTCGAGATTCGAACTGCGTGCTTAAGTTAGATCCAAAGCAAAAGTTTTCGTTTTCAAGGTAAAAAAATGAATTTGAGATCTATAATGTAGTTTAATGAAGTACTACTACATGGGTGGATATATAGGAATCAAAATCTGTCTGTCATTCGGTGTGGTCAGTACTCCATTCCATACTGTCAGGTAGCGAAGCTTACACTTGTTCACGACCCAAAAAGGGTTCACTCACTGGTATCTGAGCAATTCTTCCTGTTGCTTTCACATAACTCCCTTCTCCTTTTCCTTATTCTTGTTGCATATCTCGTTTGTACAAGTCTTCTCTTTATTCCATTTCCGTTCTTTTTTCTCCAAATTCCAAACACAACGTAAGCCCTATGACTTATCAAATGTAGACTGGTTTTATGATGTTTCAAATGCACATAAACATTTTGGGATGGTTTTGGATAAAGATTTTGACGTTAAGTCGGTAAAAGATATACGTAAAGACAGGTACTCGACTTGTGTTTATACAGATAAAACTATGTTGCACTTTCGACTCTCTTTGATGCAGCAGCGAAGGATTTATGGGTATGTCGTAGATATTTAGAGCCTAAAATTTAGGACCAATGATCTCAGTATTGAAACGTCGATGTGATTCAACGTATAGATTCAATTACTATAACAAACACTCGATTCTTCCTATTTCAAGCTCACTTTATCCACTAACTGATACATGTTGTGATTATTGATGACGTAGATATCATGTTGTCAAGTTATATTATAACTATTGATTACGTGAAAAATATTACATCAAAATCAATCATTGTCACGTCCGCTAAAAACCTGCTTATCAGCTAAAATCATACAAAATATGAAGAACTGCACGTTAGATTTATACAAAATTCGTTATATTTTACTGTGGTTTGTGGATTATTGGACTGATCAATATTTATACATACCCTTGTGTACACGTTAAATGGACATCACATTTACTCATTTGTAATTTAATACACCATAAATAGCTGTGAATTTATATCGTATCAGACAACACCCTCCAATAATCCATCCTCATGACAGGACTCTGAAATCAAAATTAAGCTTCTAATTATAAGTAAAATATAATTCTTTCGTCATCAGTATTATAATTATAATAAATAAATTAAAAAAAACCTAAAAATAATGTTTACGTATATTTAATTTTGTCATTCAACTATTTTATATTAAATATTTAATAAAAAACAAAATAATTTGGACAATTTTACATAATTTTGTATTTATGTAAATCAAATATATTTTAAAAGCAGAGTGAAGATTAGGTGAAGGGCAAGAAGGAAGAGGGAGAGGGGATAGAATATGGTTGAGTTCACGTTAAGGTGATGTGGGCAACATGTCTTGCCAGCTGTAACTCTGACATAAATGTTGCACTCCTACTCCCATTTTTCTCTAATATGTTATTTTTATATGTATTTTTTACATTTCTTTAGAATAAAAAAATTAAACTCTAAAATTTTAAAAGGAAATGAAAATGATAATGAATTTTCATTCCCTTAGTTTAAATTGGAATGAAAATTTACAATCCCGAGGGAATTGAACCATTATCTATACTATATTATAAAATATTTGAGAAATACTCTTAAAAATCATCTTTTATACATGAATTATTATTTATTGATGCATATTACTTAAAATTTAAATTACAAGTAAATTGTGCGTAAGTACAACTTATTAAGCTTCATGTTTGAATTCGTGTAACTAACTAATGATAAATCTATACTATATTATAAACATTTGGCAAAAAATCTTAAAAACCACTTTTTTATGGGTAAAATATTGTTTATTAATGCATATTACTTAAAACTCATGATTACAAGTAGATTGTGCGTAGGTACAACTTATTAAAGCTTCATATCTGAATTCGTGTAACTAATTGCGGATAAACATAGTCAAATACAATATAAATATCTTATTTTAAATATAAAAAATCAAAATACAATTAGGATAATCATTGAGTTCTAACAGAATACTTAATTATTATCTTTATAAAATGTTATATTAAACCAAAATAAATTATTTCGTTATTAAACTTAAATTAAATTATAATAAAAAAAAATTAAAGAAATTACATAAAAAACGAAAACCTTTAAATAGTTGATTTGATATTAACATTGATATATATTTTTTAAAATTTTTATTTATATCTTTAAATTTATATTTTATTCAAAAATAAAATCATTATTGCTTTCTTAAAAACCCATAAAATCGTATTATAACATCGACATAGACAAATAATAAAATAAAACATTAAAATCAAGATTTGAACCTGAGATCTCCAAGCACTTTTGACCTTTAGAGCACAAACTCAATCCAATCAAACACACCATTGTGGTTAAATAAAATAAAGTATTATAAATAGTTTCCAACTTATTTTGGAAACTTTAATGATTCTTATAACTTGTTATTAGCATTTAATTCGGCTTAAAAATGTTGTCCACACAATCAACATCAATAGTTATGTCCGTACTTTTTTATAAGGACAAAAGAGTGAATGGAATTTAAACAAGTGGTTTTATTGAAACCAACCAAAGTACGGAGAAACAGATATGATCGTAATATAAGCTTTTAGGGAGACTGTATATAAAACCAGATAAAACTCAAGAATCGTGTCAGAAAGTATTTTTTGAATACAGTAATTCGACTATATTAGTCTTCAGTTCACGGGTTTTGTATTGGAAGAACGAGATATATACCAGATTCTCGTTTTACATATTTAAATGAGAGATCATGGGTTATTGGCGGTTTATTGAGGGGTTGAACGGTTATAACCGTAAACGAATAACGTTAAAAAGTAGTTACGACATAATTTAAGTTCTGAAACATGCATCTTCAACGATAGTTGCTCAATGACAGGATGATCAATAGCTTAAGGCTTTTCAGCGACAACTGAAGCCACTCAGCAATAGGGCAAACCTGATTCAACGATACTTGATGCTGATTTTTGACTTAGTAAAACTCTTTAAGTCCAAGAACTTAGATCCAAAAAGAATTTGTACAGGCGCAGTCCCCTTGATTCCTGTTTCATGGCGATTTAAGGTAATAGGTGCAACATTTGTAAGTGTGCACTTCACACCACCAAACTTACGTGTATTTGCCTTATCGCCTTAATCGGTCTCAACTAAATCACAATTACACCAAAATACTTGACGACATTAAAATTACCAACATAGACATACAAATTACAGAAGAACGTATCTCTAAATAAATCATGAATGGGATTAACTTATGTTTCCATGTTTAAAAGAGTATATTGAATAAAAAAAACATACTAAAACCCCTCGCAAACAACGGTGATCGCTTCCCCTCGTCACTCCTCATTACCCCAACGTTGTCCATTATCCATACTGTCTAAAACGTTGTTGGCTCCTGCCATCAATATCCCTCTTTTTGATCTAGTGTATCATAAGAGGAAGAATCAAAATATAACCAATTACAGGTAGTGATGGTCAAAAACTGGTATCGGACTGGTCCTAATTGGTCCCAAGCTTTCTCATAACCGGTCCCCGGTCCCAGTCGAAAATGGTAGGACCGGTCAAGGTTCTTCGTAACCGGTTATGGGCCGCCGATCCGGTCCAATCGGTCCCGGCCTTAAAAAAATAAGATTTAAAAAAAAATTAATGATATATATTTTTAATTCATTATGAAATTTACAGTTGGGTTACTCAAATACACTTTAAATTTGCGTTTTAATATAATTAAAATTACATTGTCTTATAATAATACATTATAAAATTATTTGAATTTTCGGATCCGGCCGGGACGGTCCCATAACCGGTCCCGGTCCCATGAAACTGCCAAAAACCCCATCCGGTCCTGGTTTTCGGTCCCATAACCGGTTCTTACAGGTCCCGGGCTGGGCCTATTTGGCCATCACTAATTACAGGTAGCTAATTTGGGTTAAAAGTATGTAAGGAACAAAATTTTGAAATTTCGATGGTTTAATTTATTGAAAAAATTCAAGGACTTAATCATTCAAAACGAGAAAGTTTAAAGATTATTTAAAATGAGATAATTCGTTGGGGTTTTTTGAACTTTTCTCTAAAATAAACAACTTTTAAATTTCTATAAATTCTTGAATATGATTTTCCATATAATGTTTTATAAAATAAAAATTATATGAAAAATACTTTATGCAATTTCTTCTATTTATAATTAAATATTTTGTATAATATATTTAAAATTAAACAAATAAAAATAAAAGAGAATTTTATGATTTTGACGTGAAATACTTTTATTTAAAAATCATTAACTTAATTTTATTTTATAATATATTGATATCACATGTAACATCTGATGCCATAAAATATTTATTTAGGTTTGTCATTTTATATACATGATTTAATAAATACACATCAAATGGTTTACCTCATTGGTATTCAATAATTTGGTGCAAAATGATTAAGAGACTTTCATTATATAGTGTAAAATAAAGTATAATTGTTTAATAAATATTTATAATGAAATAAGGGTGCTTAATGATTAAGGAATGCTCATAATACAAAATCATTCAGAGGGTTTAGAACTATTAAGAGACAAATTTTATTTTGTCAAACAAAATTCATATCTTAACAATTCAGATGTTGTCTCTTAATGGAACTATTAAGTAATAAACAAACAACTTCTAAGTGTTCATCGTTCAGTTTTCAAATATGTCGTTCATTTAATTAGAATTTTAATATAAAATAAACTAAATTCAAATTCTTGATTCATCTGATCGGACCAAATCCGTAGATGATTTAAATTCAGTTGAAGTTTAAATAAACCGAAATTTAAATTTGGTTATAAGTTCGAAAAAATCAAACATGATTCATGTTAAAAGAAAATTACATGCAAACAAGTATATATGTTATTACCAAATGGTCTTTAGTCTAGCGGTATGTGAGTCTTTGGCTTCTTAGCAGGTTAAGGGTTCAAACATCACCAAATATAAAGAAGGTGTGTGAGTTTATTCGTTTTATTTGCCATATATAAATATTATTTTTAAAATAGAAAATAATGTATATAATTTGATTTTCTTGCATATTGTAATATAATATCGTTATTGACACGACTAATTGTGGTAAAGCACTACAAATAGTAACGTAACTGACATTTTTAATATTTCAGTAGTGTCAACGTTTTTTATAATGTAACTTTTTAGCATCTTCACAAACTCTATAATTTAGCTCTGTTAATTGTTGTAACAGTTAACATATTTTTAGGACGTTTATATCAGATATCAGTTAAACAGGATTGACAGACAAATATAGCATTAAATCTATTGTACAGTGAGATTGTATCAAATTCTAACACGTTAGATTTATATATGTTGTGTCGGTGCAAGTGGATGGATTTATTTTAACATATTATACACACTTGCCAATTTCGTGTATTTTGATGATTGACAAATACCGAAGTCGTTTTATATACTGATATTTTTCATTAATGTGAAATAAAATAAATTCTGATCAAATAAAACTCAAAATATGAATTGCAAGACTTTGTTATCCCTTAAACACCACGTTGTACGGAATTCAAGAAATCGTGAATCGACTCAAGAAACGTGCAACGTTGCTACAGAACTTGAAGAAACTGTTTCTTAGGATCCATGCCACGAAGAACGTCAATGATGAATTAATTCGAGCGAATAAAATATATATCAAACTCCAATAAATTTATGTATCTTTTAACCATTTTGGTCAAAAAATTTGAATTTTCTTTATAAAGAGTTTGAAACGTAAAGTAGTCAAGTTATGAACCACTCTACATCAAAGTGTCTGTTTTTCTCTCTCCTCAAACTGTTATATTTTTGCATCTGTGTTTGTATGTGAATTGAAGAAATTTCGAAAAACAGTTTTTTACTGGGCCAAGCAATATCCCTCTTCCCCAGTTGCCCTAACATATATAATTTGAACGTCAATAAGTTGTGTACTACCACTTCTCTTAGACAAATAGAATGGTTCTCGATTTTTAGAATGATTAAACGTTTGTCCGTGAGACCGTGACATCTTTCATTGATCTAATTTTGGAGACATTAAATTCTTGATGATCGACAACCTTATTATTGGGATCTGTACCATAAATACTCGATGCTAAGAATCCTTTGTTTGGACAATAAAATCGTTGATGTTTAGTCTTTGTCGAGTATTATTGATAACAACTGAGTTTTCTAACTAAACATACATACATTATGTGTACGTACGTACGTATGTATGTATGTATGTATGTATGTATGTATGTATGTATGTATGTGTGTGTGTATATATATATATATAAAGTTGGGTTCACGTGAGACCAAGTTGTTTTCGTGAGACCACTTTTTTACGCGTGAAACTTTACAGCAAAACGCTGTGAATATTTGCCCTTTTTTTACCTTCACAGCATTTTGCAGTGAAGTTTTAAGTGTAAAAAAAAGAGTATTACATGTCTCACAAAAACAGGCTAGTCTTATATGATCTCAAGTCTCTCTCTCTCTCTCTCTCTCTCTCTCTATATATATATATATATATATATATGATCAGAAGTCTATATATCTATACTACATTAATAAGCATTTAGACCAAAAGTCTTAATTACAAGTCTTAAAGCATAAAGTACTATCAATTTATGCAAGAGTATCAAAAATTTCGTAAGTACAAACTATTATGCATAATGTACAAATGCTTAAAACATACAATCTGTTTGGTCAAAATTCATGTTTAAGTAAGCTATATTTACATGAAAAAGATGTGTTTGATCTTCCCAAAGTTCTTTGACACTTTGTTTGTTTTCTATTTTTAACCCAAATTCAAATTCAAAACTATTTTTTCCTTTGAAGTAAACTGAAATTTGAAGCAACAATATCATAAAGGGTTTCAGATTCTGTATGGACCCCACCCTAACCCTTCAACTTTACATGAGTTTAGAAACTCAACATGTATGCAATTATTTTTCCAATCGATCTTGCTAATATACCATATTAACCTTCAACTTTATATATTAGTTTACTTGTAAAATAACAACACAAACTCATGATTCAAAGCTAAACAAATGTTTCAAAATTGTGATTCACCTGCGTTTGCATCGCACAAGTACACCACTAGTATATGTGTGTATATATACATAATATGAATGTGCATCACATTTTAATGAGGAAGAACCAGAATCCACATGAATGACATGTTGTAGGGTAGAAAATAAGAAATTAGCAATACAAATTCCTCAATGTCACCTAACATTTATATTATTTGGGGTTGGGGGTCATATATGTGTGTACATGCTTGCACCGTCAATAACACACATTAAAATATTATTTTAATTAATTAGTTGGAAATGTGTGTGCCTCTATAGATTTTGTACAAGTTTCTTAATGGTTTAATGAGATTTATAACTTATTCAATCAATTATATATGATTATTTGATATTAATTTAATTATGTAAAAAATGACTTATTCAGTAAACTTTTAGGACGACTTTATACAAAAAAAAACCAAATTTTTTTCCAAAACATGTTTCTTCCAAGCTTCTTTCATCTATGAAAAAACCCCAAACAAAAACATTTTCAATCTATACAAACAGATTAATCAACACAAACAGTTATATTCATACATGACTTGATAAAAACCCAACAAAAACAACCCATTAGTTGATTCCATATGCTTCGTTTTACATTGTGTTAATAACTTAATATATGTCAAAACATGAGGGTAATATGCAATACGTAATAACATCTTTAATATATTTTCGAAATTCTTTTGGAGACAGAGAATCAAAATGTAAAGAAGGTGCAGATATAGATTAAATGATGATGTGATAGAGAAACAGATGACGTATTGAAGAACACAACATAGGTAATAAATATCAATATAGCACAAATTTTCAAAAACACGTTAGTTACATTATTTTCTTCTCTACCAAAAAGAATTATATAATTAAAAATCCGTAAATAAATAAAATATAATCATACATTTTTTAATTATGTATGCAATTATGTATTTAATCATAATTGATTTGATATGTAGAAGACACCGAAATATTTGACTCTTCTCATAATCTTTTTGTAGAATAATAATCAGAATTGAAAATGACTTTGAATTTCATTTTTTTATATAATAAAAATCAAAATGAGATATTTGAAAAAAAATATATAATCAATATTATAAAACCTGAATTTATTGGGAAAAAAGTTCTTAAACCATAATACTTTTTTTAAATATATAACCGCAAATAGAACAAATAAACTCACAAACTCTCCTCACTTTTGATGAGGTTTGAATTCCTAACCTCCTAGAAGACCAAAGACTCACATACCGTTAAAATATACCGGTATGAAATAGTAATAGATGTTTGTTAACTGTTGACCGTCTCTTATCGGGTATGATTACACTCTCGCGGACAAATGATGCCGAGGAAAGCCTCTCTTGGTCAGCTTACTCGGACCATAATTTTACCTGATTTGTGTCGCAACAGTCCTTAAGTCAAGGTGCCTGAGATTGTGAATCCCGCTTCCGAGCAGCAGCTCTCTCTAATGCCTTCAGCCTGTTTGATTCTATTCGGGCTTTTAGTTCTTCCGACATTTCAATATTGTTAGCATCTGCTGGCTGACTTGGTACTTCTTTTTGTACAGCAACGGTAGCCTCAACGTTCAGGGACCGAGATGGTTCCTTTTTGTAGAACAAAGTGCACATGCCATATCAACATTTACACTATAAAATGTAGGCTTCATATGCAGAAGTATACAATTAAATTTGGTATAAACTGGAATTATACTTACTTCAGTAGTGTTTTCATAGATCTCATGAAGCATATCATGCTGGAAATCATCTGCATCATGATTTGGCAAAGTCTCTTCCTGGTGAAAAAGATTTGGTTCCTCTGGGTTCATGGCATCTGTGCACAACGAAAAAACAATGATCAGGACCGTCTATCTACTCTTACCCTACCTGCCCATCCTTATGAATGCTTTTTTTACAACTTCTTTTATTCGGTGATTTTATATTCTCATGAAATGTTTTCTTTGTTGTACATGAAGAACACCATAAAAATTACTTTTATGCACATGTACAACGCCGTACAGATGAATGATTATTAGGGTGATCTTTAGTATTCCATTTCTTTGTGGTTTTTACTTGAACCTTAAGTGATTGCTTAAAAATGGGTAATCATCTATTCCCTGGTAAATTGGGGGGAATAACTTTTCATTTCCCAAGATTATCATTCCTTATCATACTCATGATTTCCAATTTTCCATTCCCTTAAAACAAACCAAGTGCCCCCTTATTCAACTCGACATCTTACTCTAGTCAACAGAAAAAGTAGCAGTTCTAGAGGCTAATTGTAACAGCAAACTGTGGTGAAAAAGAGAGATCGAAAGATAAGTACAAACAATCTATATGATAGAACTGAAATGAGGACAAAACACCATGTGAGAGACTGAAGAAAAGCTGTGGCACAAGAAACATCTCAGAGAGTTTTAGGTCCCCCATGTTTGCTAGTACACACCTTGTCTTTTTATGCAAAAAAACTACTGGCTTTCATCTTCGGTTGACCAGGCTGTACTCTCATTCTTGGATATTTACAACTTTTTGGAGGGCCAATGTTGTTCCATAAAGCTGCTACTAGAAATTTACTTGTAAAATTACATTTAACAACTAAAATTGCTCAACAGTGAAGGATAAAGATTTGGTAGTAGAATTGTTTATTATATGCATCAAGCAAGACATCAAGAAATAAAGATCCAATAAAGAAAAAGTATAGGAATTTTGCTGGACTAAATTACCCTCCAAAAAAACTCTTCACATGGAAAAAGGTACCAAGTCAAGAATGAATGAGCATAAGATTTACACAGAATGCAGAAAATGTAACTGAAGTTACAGAACATGTGACAACAGGACACATAAAGTAGCTTCTGACAATAATTGAAATGAAGCTGGTCGCAAAATACCTTGTTCGTGATTTGAATCTTCATGTGGCTCAGGTGTTTCAAGCAGCTTGGTTGGATCCCCTCCATTTGCAACTCTTTCTCGCAGATCATTTATGCATAGCTGGTTAAGCCAATGGTTACAATATGAACAAAAATGTAGCCGTGTAATATACTAAAATGCGATCTCTATAAACCAAAAGAGCAAATGCACTTTTGTTTTTTGCTATTTGAATACACAAGTGCTTTTAGCTATTATTGTATCCATGGCCAGAATTAGTGTACACTCAGTTTAGTAACTTCATCACGTAAATGAAGTTCACAAGATGAAAATCTTTACACCAAACCAGGACACTCCACTAAAGTTTACCCATTCCCCATAACATAACTTTCACCCGATGTTTTTTTTCCCTCTATGATCTTTGATTCCTTTTCCTTTCTTCATTGTCTCCAATAAGAGGTCTTTGGTCACCCTGAACCCCAGCCTTCATCTTAGTCAAAGCTAAGACTACTGCTTGTCTAGGCAAGTGTTGTGCATTCCTTCCGAAATAAATCCAACTAATAGGTGCTGTGCTCTTTTCTACCAAACCCCTAATAAATCACCTAAAAACAGGATTCTTTACTTTGGTGGTAAAATACTGAATCCCATAAACATGTGTTCTCAAGTGTCTTGAAAATGATAGATTAAATGTTTCCATCATTTTATATTTATTTCCTTAAGTTTTCTATATCAAATTATCAATATATGTCCCTATATGTGAATTTTTTCAAGAAAGAGACGTGCTTTCTTATCCCACCTAAATCAAATTCCCTATTTTGGTTTGGTTTGTATTCAATTATCATTATCAGTGGAAACAACCAACACTCAATCAAGATCAACTTTATCAAGACATTATCCACTGGCGTTCAATCTACATTAATTACCCTTAACAGCAGATGAACCCCTAGCATGCAATTTACCTTAACCCGATAAATATATCCATCAAAGATATGAGACTAGAAATAAAACATGATGTAGCTAAGGTCTAACAATGACCGTAATGTTGATAATGGATTTTCTTTTCTCTTCTTATGCAGCATAATATTTAAGGGATGATGCCTAATGGGCCCAAAATTACACAAGTAAAAAGCCCTATAACAAACTACTTTTGGTCCAAATAAATTGCATAAGAGATCTGGTGCCTGGCTACAAAATATCTCCTACCTGATGTGTCTCACGCCTTGTGCTTCACAGGTCAAGGTGAATGCTCCATCAAAGCTAATGGGCCTCAAACATGTTAAAGCCCAAAAGCTATGTCTAGATGGACCTCAAGCCCAAAGGCACCTTTCACAACAAGAGATGAGACCATGTAGTAACTGGAAGATAAAGAAGCTGCTTTGAAAAGCTAACGGTTTTTAGAAAAACTAGTGATAGTTTAGTTTATGGGATGAGACTGGATAGTTTAAGGTGAGGCCAACAAGGTCTTTGAATATTTTGAAATCAAAGGTACCAATTTAAGTATTCTTTCAAGTCCTCTGAACCAATGTTGCAAGGTGTATAATTGAATTTACAGGTTAAGAACAAGGTCTTTGAAGTAAAAATATGCAGCTAGAACATTAGACAGATCTATAGTTGATAGAAAGTTTAAAGGAAAGTTCTATAGATAGTTGTAGGCTAGCAATGTTCCAAAATTTTCAATGTTGACCACTGAAAAGAACACAAAACAGAAGGGTAGCCAAATGCAACTGATGAGATGCATATATAGTCAAACAACAACAAATAGGATTGAAATTGAAAATGTTAATAAAATAATAGCAGTTACAATGATCAATAGAACTTGCTTTGGGGAGAAATGCACAGTTGGAAAACAATAATCAACAAGGCATTAGGTACAGTGGATTAAAAGTGATTTATTCAAGGACACCTGAAGTCATAGGGTCAATTAAAATAATACTGGTAAAAACAAAAGAAAATTTGGGTATTTGGAAATATGGCCTTCAGCGAGACCAAGTGCAGGACTACTAGTGACATACTTGTGTAGTTGTGTTCATTTAGTTCACCATGGAGCTCGAAGAATTAGGAGCAAGTAAATTACTGCAACTTCTATCTTTTGCTTATATGCAAGCAATACTCACATAATTTATCATCAAAGCACATTTACCTCACTTCTTTGCTTTTACATTTATTTCAAATGTTTTACAGACTGCTTTATGCAATTCTAGGGTATATGTGGGATTAAAGAATGAACTATCTTCCCCATGGCCCACGGGATAAGTTCCTAGAGACTCCAACTAATTTGGTTTGCAACTTCAGTTAAGCTTGACTAGAAATGACTAAAAATGGAAGAACCAAAGTTAAATGAAAATCCCCACAAATTTCCATCCAACAATGAATCCAAAGAAACTATAAAATAACTATACTTTAGGTTCTGTTATCCTTTACTCATTCTGCCAATCGAGTGAATCAAAGAAATCTATTTACATTTTCGGTAGAATCACATTAGCTTTTATAATGACAAAGGGAAGGTTCATGCTAAAACAAAATATATAGATTCAAGACTAATTATACACTTAAACTTGGTATATGGACCTGGTAGCAACAGATAATATATTGCATTTCGTAGTCGCAACAGGTACCCGGAAAAAGATGTTTTACCTTGACACGTTTTGAGCCGCCTACTTGTTCTACCTTGTGAACGAACTGATTGTAGGAGTAGTAAGGAATCAAATGTGAGTGCCATTCCGCATACAAGCTTAGTAGATTCCCCAGATCATTTATCTGCATATTTTTCATGCAATTCGATAAAACTATCTCTTTTACTTGATTAGAAAATGCAGCATATTCAGCCACACAATTAATTTAGAACACAAAAGCTCCATTATGCTGCATCCTAGTTGCTTATGTACGATTTTCTAGAATGCCATTAAATCATCCCAAGAAAAGGGATGAAGCGAACCCCCTACCAAGGTTTTGAAATTTGATAATTTGGCACAATGGACAATGTGATACATAAATTAATGGGATGAGGCAGTGACCTTCTGAATTTTTGCTAGTGATGCTTAATGAAAAATAGTATTTATTACAATAACAATTGATTAACACAGTAAATCAAATATCAAAATCATTATCGTGACATAGAATTTATGCATAATCATTAATGTTCAACATTGATATTTAAAATGGTCCATCAAATTTGGTGACATGATAATTTAATGAATACCATTAACAAACATTATGAAAATACAGTTATTAAACCATGTTCTGTTACTACATTATAGTCAATGAACCAGGAGTGAAGCATAAAATTATGAATTTCATGTTCATTACATGTGTCATTCATTAATATGGCAGCCACCTTATATGGTTTTATCACCAAGGGGAAATCAACAAAATGTGGCACACTTTAAATTATTAACACCATGTATGATTACATATCCAACTAAAGTTACACATGTTCAACTAATCATGAAACAAAAGACACCTTATGCTCATGCATTAGTTCATGATCAAGATAACGGATTCAAAAGTCTTGCATGAGGATTTTGCACTAGTGTGAGATTGGCATAGTAAGCATGAGAAGCCATAAGCAATCATGTAAAGAACAGGAGTCTATTGGCATGTATAGCACATATTGTACAACTTGTCAACAAAAGCATTGTTGAATTGGTGCATAGTACTATGTCATAGAAGAACTTTATATGATTCGAAAGAAGATGGTCTTCTTGTCGATCATTTCTCAAATATGATAGATGAATTAGTTTTTAGGTGTTTCTCAAATAGATCAAAAACTCCTTTCTGCAAGATAAGTCAATAAGGGATCATCTCATTTGTTAGATTAGGGTACAAAAATGCCTATCTACTCATTTTGGCGAGTAAATCTGTAGGTTCCACAAATTCTCACATGGTATCTCAGCCAAAGATCTACCACTCTAAGGACTCGACACTGTGGGCAATCTATACTCATCTAGCCCCTGTTCACACTCTCGAACAACATCTGCATGTTTAACCATGGATGGAGGGGGCGTGTGGAAGTCCCACATCAGCCAGACTTGGACCATTTTCTACTCAATATTTGTTGAGACCTCCCTTCTGTCCTCAATGGTTCTTTCTGAAGAGTAACTTAATGGGGTTCCACATATTCTCACATAAAATGGCGTCCTTCTCTGTTAGTGTATCTAGGATTTGCACATTCTGTTGTGTTGATTTAACAAAGGGTATGGTAAAATATGTTTCTGCCTTTGATGATCATAATGATCTTTTAGTAAGATCTAGAATCTTGAGGTCAGATATTTCCAATTTCTTTCTTTTTGTTTCTACATAGCCTGATGTAAAATACGCAATTGGTGTATTCCACTAGCTTATTCATACATGTGATTTGAACATTTCCAGTTGCATTCGTTTTCTTTCTGATAAGAATTTCATTCACATGCTAGCACACAATAAGAATTATCTATTGATAAAAATAATGTGCCTTTTTATATTCCTCAATGTTCCAGTCATTGTAATGCTCTAATTTCAAATTTAAGGACATTTTGAAGTAAACGTCTAAAAACCTACAAATGAAGAGTAAATTGAAAGGGAAAATCAATACCTCGTGGCCACGGCCACGGTACTTAAAAGCTTTAGGGAAATGTCGAAGAACGAATCCAAGACCATCATCAGAAAGAAGCAGTTCCGGAGTTAGCTTAGGTCTGGTTTTCGGGACCTTCTTTGGCTTTTCAATTGGCTGCTTTTGGGACGGAAATGAGCCACCACCTACTGCGCCACTTGCCTTGAAAGGATGCGACGATGCAGCCGGTTTGTTATTGGCTCTGTCGTTGTTAGAGTTAGGATTGGGGTTTGACGGACAGTCACGGGACCAGTGTCCGGGCCGGCCGCACTTGTAACAACCAGTCGGCGCCGCACCACCACTGCCACCGTTGGCCTCCATTTTATCCGATCAAAGGTACAGGGTTTTGAATATAGATCAGGGTTTGGGACTGCGTGATTTGCAAATCACGGACTCGAACTGTTTGTGTGTTTTGCGATTTTGGAGACTGTGATAGAGCAATCTTGGCGGGAATCAGAATGGGAAAATAACATATATCGGCGGGATGCCGATAAGTTACTTTAAGGTCCTTCAATTTTAATAGGTTTTGCCATTATAGTCCCTAATTTATGAGAGAATTGTAATTTTGACAGATTAATAAAATTTTGTTCCCAAAAAACGAAGTGAGGGAGATGTTGTGGGGGAACGAAATGGATACCACATGTTCGAGATTTTTTTTTTTTATATTAACCTGAATATCTAACCCGCTATGTGAGCCGACTAATTCTAAAACGATCATCTGTTTTGCAAATAGCTCAGAATCATCGTCTTTGAACCTCCGTGACCACAAGGGGATTTTTATTTCTTCTTGGATTTGAATCTGGGACCTCCTGATACTTTTGACATTTGGAGTCAATCTCAAACCAATCAGACACCACCCTTGTGGTTAACATGTTCAAGATTTCCTGACAACAACGATGGACGACGATGGTCTATGATGTACTTTATATTAAGAGAACGTGTTTTTTCAATCACAAAACAATATGATTGTTAGGACCTCTTCTCGTTCTACGTAGCCTTTTGGGGTTAGTGATGGGACTTATACAAGGGTTTGAACCCATTTTTCATAATAGTATTAGAGTAAAAATTAAATATTTTAGCGGACATAGATTATGAAGAAAAAAAATGAAATCGAAACGGTCAAAAACAAGCAAAAGATACTTGCAAATTGTATAAAATGTAATGTACTTTTGTTTGATTCATATTTTGTACATATTAAACTCTTCTTTTGGTACTTGTGGTATTATATTTCAAATATTTAAGTATCCTGATAATCGATTTAAACATTAATCAATCTACTAACATGAAAAATAATGTGGTATGTATCTCAATATTATTTGATTGTGTGGCCAATACTGTGATTCTTTTTTATAGAATAAGTTTATATGCATATATATATATATACTAGGTTCGACCCCGTGTATTACACGGGGTATTTTAAATGAGAAAAACTATTGACATTAACTATGAAAGAAAACTCTGAAACACAAGAATTCAAGATTCTATTGTTAGGTTGGAAAATAACTCTAAACTTAATTCTGAATAAGAGAAATTCAGAGTTGTCTTCTAAGTCTATAAAGTATCTACGAGCATAAATTTGAGTCACAAGAATCCTGACTTCTTATAACTCTGAAAAGAAGTTCAAAGTTGTATTCTAAGTATGAGAATAAAATATATAACCAAGTTTGGAGCAAAACAATTCAGAGTTATGTTGTAAGTCTGAGAAATAAGTAATATCTGATGACTTCATGTTGATGATTTGTATCACTAGTGTCATTTAAGTGTAATGGAATTAAATTCCTGACCAATGTAATCATGATAAAATATCGAACATGTAAGGAATGTGCAAATTGCACACTTGCTTTAGTTTATTTTGATTTAGGGGCAAAGCCCCTAAATGACGGGGGTCCGGGGGCAGCGCCCCCGGTGGCGGGTGATATGTGTTGAGATTTTAACACATAAAGCGCTCTTTTTACGTCGTTTTTGTTATAATAATTTCTTTTCATTCCCACTTTGAGTCATTTTCATTTATTTCTTTATACTTTTGTTATTATGAAGCTAAATGTTGTGGTTTACTTGATGGTATGTGTAAATGATGCTAAATGAGAGTTTTTGTGAAAACAGCAAATGCTGCAGCATTGGTGCAGCGTTGACCTGATTCATACACGACTTTTTGGAGGGCTTAATGAACAAGACGCTGACTTTTTGAAGATGGAGGACAGCTGGAAATAGCTTGATTTTTAGTGGAAAAATCAGATGTACTCTTTAGTTAGGCTTATGTACTTTTTAGTTAAACTTTAGTTAAAGATATGTACTTTCTAGTTAAGCTTTAGTTGGTTTGTAATTTGGCTTGGAAGACTTAGCCTACAAGTCTTGTTATTTTGTCATCTTGTGCCCCTTTTTGAGTATAAAAAGAGGGCTTGGCGTGCCTTCTAAGCCATCCTTCATTGGATCCCTTAATCACTTAATCCCTCCATCATCCATTGGATACTCTAATCCTCCATCCCTTTTCTTCCTCCCAACTTTTCTTTCTTTTCTTTTTCTTTGTAAACCCTCTCCAAGGGTGTTCTTCATTTAAAGCTTTGAAGTTCTTCATCTTTTTCTTTATTTACTTTATTGTCTTTTATTTTCCGTCATTTATTTTATTGTCATTTACATTCTTGTCTTTTACATTCCGTCATTTATTTTCCGCTATTTACATTCTCGTCATTTACATTCCCGTCATTTATTTTATCGTCATTTATTTTATCGTCATCTACTTTACGCAATTTACGTTTATGTCTTTATTTTCTGTTATTTATTTTTTACTTTCCGTTATGAGTAGCTAAGCTTTTATAGCTTGGGTGTGAGAAGGAAAGGTGAGATTTTCAAACCAAACGAAAGTAGCTAAGTGTTTCGTAAACGACGTTCCATTGTTTCATTCRAGTTTTTATAAAACCAAGCACACTTCTTGACGGGTTGATCACTTGAAAGTGTTAAAGTGCGATGGACTTAGAAATAAGTCATCAATAAGCACGTCAACTTGAATGACATAAGAGGTAGACTTGAGAAAGTTGCCGACAAGGAGACTTGTCATTTATGTTTTTCAAAACGTAACTCCCGACGGGTTGGTCACTTGTCAAAAGTGTCAAACTGTGATATATTCAGAGATGAAATATCAAGAACACGCCAACTCGAATGATATGGGAATCGACTCGAGAGAGTGATTTTTAACGAAGAGATTTGTTTATCCATATATTTTGAAAACACCATTGTGTCACTATCCCCGGTCCGGACACCATATAGAGATATAGGTGGAAAGCTATAAGATAGTGAAATGGTGAAGTCCGAGAGGAATGCCTTCAAAATAGATGGTGGAACTTAGTTTCGAAACACTGCTTGCTGTAGCATTCATTTGGCATTGCTACAGTATTGGCTGCTGGAATTTGTGTTTTGATCTCACCTTAAGTCTTACACCCTTGCTTCTTTTATATATTTTGTATTCTGTTTTGGATCACCTTAAAATCAAACAAAAGTCTTCGAAATCGTCATCTGAAATCATCTATTTCATTGGACTCTAATCTAACTTTGGCTACAATCCCTGTGGACGATAATCCGGTACTTGTACCACTTTATTACTTGGAAAGACGACGTTAGGCCGTATTGTATACTTGCTTTGTGGCCTAATTTCATTAAGTCTAAATGTGTGAAATATAACCCGACCAGCGGAGTCCAAGGGGCAGAGCCCCTGGCTGGGGGGTTTCAAAAATCCGAATTTGAAATTTTAAATAAGGTTTTGATGACCACTCCAGAGTTAAATTCAGACTTACAACTCTGAATTTCCCCATAGTTCTCATGTAGAATACATCAAGAGACAGAGCTCTTACTCAAGAGTTAAGTGTCTCATATACAAAGCCCGTGCTGTATTTCAAGGAAGATCAAGGCTTAAACGCCAAAAAAGTTAAGGTGTTTGATGCAAAGCTTCACTCCAGATGCAGAGCCTCTGTATAGTACATGCAGAGCTTCATTCAAGATGCAGGCCTCTGCATAGTACATGTAGAGCTTCACTCCAAATGCAGAGCCTCTGCATAGTACATGCAGAGTTTCACTCCAGATGCAGAGCCTCTGCATAGTACATGCAGAGCTTCACTCCAGATGCAGAGCATCTGCATAGTACATGTAGAGCTTCACTCCATATGCATAGCCTCTGCATAGTACATGTAGAGCTTCACTCCAGATGCATAGCCTCTGCATAGTACATGCAGAGCATCTACATAGTACATGCAGAACTTCACTCCAGATGTAGAGCCTTTGCATAGTACATGCAGAGACATCTGAGTCTCTAGCCTCTAAATTTGGAGGTGAAATCGTTGGACGGATCTCTAAATCTAGAAAGGAGGATTCCAGATTTTGGAACTCTGAATCGCCAATTACTATGTGAAGGCGGTTATACCACGAATACGTGAAATGAACCGCCCGAAGGGACACATGTCACTTAAATAAACCTATTTGAACCGTAAGTAAAAAATGTGTCTAGATACATGTTTAGGCGGGAAAAACCAATAACCGTCGCACAAAAACATGACACGTGTCCCAAAAGTTACTTATTTAATAGGGTTATATATATATATATATATATATATATATATATATATATATATATATATACATATATACATCATACATGATATTGTACCATGTTCACCCCTAATCCTCCTAGGCATGGGAATAAGATTGCCCCATCAGGGAATCCAGTGTACCTGCCCCAACGGGGACGAAGATTACCCGTAAAATCGGGGATTGGGAATGGGCACGGGAATCCTCGAAAGTTAAAAAATCAGGGATGGGGATGGGTAACAGGGTCTTTGCCATGTCCCATCCCCGAATATTAAATATATTATATAAATTTATTATTAAATATATTATTTATAAAAATTAGATTTAATATCTTTTAGGTTTAAAAATAGTATTTTGACATTTATTTTACATACATTTTTTTAAGATAAAAAGCCTTTGATCAAATAATTAGGTATATAATGTGATTTTGTTCATATATAAATATCTGATATTATATAAAAGCAGATTTTAGAAATATGTGAGTTTTAAACATAGACCGTTATTGATTGAGTATGGTGTTTAACACATTTAATTTAAAATATTTTATATTAACCCCGGGGG